CAAAACAAAATCGTTTAAATAAATCGTTTTGAAATTTTTTTTTGGTTAATGCATTTACAGCAAGTGTGACCTGAGCTGAAAACTTTAGAATGGTGGATATCGAGATCAATGCTTGATCTTCTCTTTTTCTTAATCTCCAGATTAAATATGGCTTGTTCTCCTCTTGTTATTAATCTCCAGATTAATTAACAGATTGGGATTAAGGATATCCCATTCTAAAGTTTTCCGCTCTGATGGCAATCTTATTTGGTTGCATGTTTGAAATTCAAAACATTTTCGTCATCTTAACAACTCTGCATTAAAAAAGTTATGATTAAAAACAACAAAAATTCAACACAACATTTAATTTAATCTGATTTCAGCTGGTGTCAGCTTCCATGTATTGCCAGCGCTTTCAGCAAAGAAATCAGGTGATTGTGGTACATATACTTAAAACCCATGTTGGAAAGTAAAAATGTTATCTTAAAGGGAGTGTTCGCGAAAAATGAAAGGGGGTATAGGCTTAGTGCGATAAAAAAGCGCTTTTGATCGCTACTAATCTTACTTCTATCTCTTGCGTCTATAAGGAGAAAATTGTTAAAAACGACTAATACCGAAGAACGTAGTGTCCATACAAATTGAGGAAGTTGCAACATACGACTAGGATTGTAGAAAAATCAATTTAATATAAAACAAATCATTGAAATATTAAAATCGTTCGACATCGATTACATTTCGACGCATTTGAATATAGTTAATGTTTCATAATATTTGTTATTTGTTTATATGCAATGCACTTAAAACGACGTTTTTTCCGCTAGGTGTCTCTGCCACGTGAAATCATTCAAAGCATCGAGAGCAGAGACACCTGGCGGCCAACTCTTTCGGCGTTTTAAGTGCATAACAAATACAAAATATTCGGAAATATTAACTATATAGAAATGCGTCGAAAAATAATCGATGACTATAGGTTGTAATATCTAAATGATTTGTTTGAAATTAAATTGATTTTTATACGATCCTAGTCGTATGTTGCAACTTTCTCAATTTGTATAGACGTTATGTTCTTCAGTATAAATCGTTTTTAACAATTTTCTCCTTATAGACGCAACAGATAGAAGTAAAATTAGTGGCGATCAAAAGCGCTTTTTTATCGCATTAAACCTATACCCCCTTTCATTTTTCGCGAACACTCCCTTTAAAGGAACTGTCGTTAAAAATTAAAGTTTATAAAAGAAGGACTATGAAGGACTATGAAGGACTATTAAGGACTATGAAGGACTAAGAAGGACTATTAAGGACCATAAAGGACTATGAAGGACGATGAAGGACTATGAAGGACTGTGAAGGACTATGAAGGACTATGAAGAACTAAGAAGGACTATGAAGGACTATGAAGGACTATGAAGGACGATGAAGGACTATGAAGGACTATGACGGACTATGAAGGACTATGAAGAATTAGCCCGATTCACAACGGAATGTAACATATATATTGTCTTTTCTATAGATTGTAGAATCCGCAAGATAATCGATTAAAACTTTTAATTAGACAAGCCTTTCTGGGAACTTTTGTGAATAGGTTATGACACATGGAGGAATCCCTAATTACACATGGAAGGATTACAATTGGAATTATGTCTATAATCCCTTTAAAATATTCTAATATTTATCTTGATAATTAAAGAGATTAAATGCAAATCTGCACCAAAAAAAGAGTCGGAAAACGTAAAATATTTAGTTTTTTTACCCGGACCGTACTTTTTACCGCCCTGTAGCCTGTACCCTATTCTATGCATTAAATTGTTTACAAATTACAAATAAATCCTTAAAAGTGTTATTTCTAAAAAGTCAAACAATTTCAAGGTGATAGTGTCAAATCATAGTGCTAGGGCAAAAAAACTAGAGAGGGGCGAGTCAAACGCCCCCCCCCCTCTAGCCTGTTTAGACTAGGGTTAAGAAATATTAATATTTACTTTCCAGAAATTGCAGATAATAAATATGAGAAAGCTGAGTTGAGCCTAGAATATTCCGAATTTATGTACAAATATGTACACTATACAGTTTATACTGTAATGCTAGCGTACACTCTAGTTTTCTGCAATTTAAACTCCATTTTAGAGAAACACACACATAGAATTTCAGCGGAAATGGTCAAAAAAAAGTATAAAAAGGCACCGCTGTAAACCGTGTATTGAGGATCACTTTAAATAACGCTAACAGTTCCTTTAAACATATAAAATCCTCCAATCGAGTGATATGCTTTTTCTTTAAAATCAATGTAATATTAATATGATACAAATAACCTGATTATTAAACTGTTCCAAAATCAAAATTTCTAATACCTTACAATCTGCAATGTCGGAAATCTTGTATATTTCAAACAATGAATGCTTTGAATCAAATTTGCTAAGATTAGGAATTTGAAAAATTGAGTTTGAGGCAAGAACTCATGGTTCCTTTGCTAAATTTTATTAAATTTCTTATTAAGGAATGTTTTTTTTTAGATGGTTGTCGATCAAAGAAAAAGGTAAGCACATTTTTCAAAGCTTTAATTATACAGTTAATTTCAAATGAATCCTTTCTTTTAAACGAATTCAATTTTTTAATCCCTACGACTTTGTCTAAGGTCCACGCCATTTGGCAAAGAAATAGACAATCAGAATTTGTAACAAAACTTTATTCCTCTTCGAAGAATTTCAAAATTATTTGTTTATGTTTATGCTAAGGACCAGAAAACTGTGGAAAGGAAGCATTCAAGCAATCATAGTTTATTTTTTAATATTCTAAAGTAAGCAGTTTTACCTGCAGATTTCAATCAACTTATGAAGAGAAATGTATATTGCACAACTGCTGTGCTTCAAGTTCATTGGACCAAGGTTATAATGCAAGGAAAGTTATTGCAGTTGCGTATACTCTGCGTACATATTGAAACCAGTTCTCTCTGGGCGGAGGTTAAAAGCATTAAATTTTGATAATTTTGATAATTCACATAATATGGCCAGAATATTTCATTGATTTTTTTTGTGAAAGATTGATCATATGTCAGGCTTCGACATTCGTTTTGTGATTACATTACCGCGCAAAGACAGTACGCTGCGGTGCAAAAGATGCGTAAACCTCTGAAATAACTTTCCTCGCATTAAACTATCTAAATCATATTTTTAGCCTAATAATCGTCTTCGTATTCCACGGTCGCATTGTATAGATTTCACTAATACATTAAATTCTGTTTAATTGAAGACTATTTTATCAGAAAGGTTCAAATTCTACTGCTTGGCACTGGAGAAAGTGGTAAATCAACATTTCTAAAACAGCTGGAGATAATTCACGGGAACAGGCTGAATCAGGAGACTGAAAGATTGATGTATAAGGTATCTTGTGTAGATGGTGCCACAACATGCAATTTGCTCTAAATCATGTGATTAGTTTTCATTTGCTCGTTAGTAATTTGCTCGTTTGTCATTTTTTCGTGTGTCATTTGCTCGTTCGTCATTTGCTCTTTATCATTTGTTAGTTTGCATTTGATTTTTTTGTCATTTGTTAGCTTGTAATTTGCTTGTTTGGCATTTGTTTGTTTGACATTTACTCGTTTTTCATATGCTCGTTTTTCATCTGTTTGTTACCATCTGTTAGTTTGTAATTTGCTTGTTTGTCATTTTATCGTTTTTCATTTGTTAGCTTGTTTTTTTATTCAGTTGTCTTCTGCTCGTTTGTCATTTGTTTGTTCGTCTTTTGCTCGTTTGTCATTTGCTCGTTTGTCATTTGTTTGTTTGTCTTTTGCGCGTTTGTCATTTGTTCATGTGTAATTTGCTCTTTTGTCATTTCCTCGTTTTTCTTTTGCTCGTTTGTCATTTGGTGGTTTTTCATTTGCTTATTTGTCATTTGTTTGTTTGTGATTTGTTCTTTTGTAAATTGCTCATTTTCCACTTGCTTTCTTGTCATTTTCTCGTTTGTCGCATAATCGTATGTCATTTTCTCGCTTGATGGACAAGGTATTCTTAAATGATGCCACAAGTTCACAACATCATTTCCAACTTCTCATGATAATCATGAGGCATTGTAAGACTGTTGATCATGAAGATAATAATAGATTTCATCAAATAATCTATTATCATACTGTGGTCAGCATATATATCAATACAAAATCGTTTACTAAAAAGGTGATATATAATGATAAGCACAACATTTCAATATAGTATTTGGTCCATAACTGCTACACAATAAGGATTGGTCTTATATCACCATTTTAGCAATCGACACTGTATTGATATATATGCTGAACAGTGTAGTGTTCTGAACTGTTTTTATATGTATGCTGAACAGTGTAGTATCCTGAACTGTATTGATATGTATGCTGAACAGTGTAGTATCCTGAAAAACTAATATAAAAATAAAATATTAGGACCTGATTCTAACAAACTGTGTTGAGAGTCTAGTTGATCTGATAAAGGGAATGGTACAATTGGGTATATCACTTTCAAGGTAATACATTCAGCTGATGATGAGTGATGATGTGGTTGATGATGATGATTATGATGATGATGATGGTGATGATGATGATGATGATGATGTTGTTGATGATGATGATGATGATAATGGTGATGATGATGATGATGATTTTGTTGACGATGATGATGATGATGATGATGATGATTATGATGATGATGATTATTGTTCATGCTTATGATGATTGTGATGATGATGATGACGATGATGATGATGATTATGATGATGATGATAACGATGATAATGATGATGATGATGATGATGGTAATGATGAAGATGAAGATGACGATAATGATGATAACGATGATGATTTTTATTATGATGATGATTATGATGATGATTGTGATGATGATGATGATAATTATGATGATGATGATGATGATGATGATGATGATGACAAGATGTTAAGATGATAAAAATTATGATGATCATGATATATATTATAAAGATGATTATATTGATGATAATGACAATCATATTAATAATATATATGATCATCATTATTGATGATAATGACGATGACAATAATGAAGAGTATAACAATGATGATTTTAAGTGCTGAGAGCTTGAACCAGATGCGTATATTCCTTGAGTTCTACAATGATCACGAGAAAACAGGAATTATTTCAAATATTCCAAACCAGGTAAAATTACTAAAAAAGAGATTGTTCACTAATTTCATCATGAACTATTATTCATTTACAATCGAACCCTTTAATCATTTTTCTTTAATTAAAATTAAATATTGTGCTGTTACTAATTAGGGCAACATATAATTGATTAAAGCTTTTTTAGTTATAAATATCATAATCAGAAAATAGTAGTTTTAATTACAGTGAGAAACAGAAAACTGTGGAAAAGTAATGCGACATTAAAGCAATAATTGCTTGTATTTGTTATTGTAACAGAGCAAATAGTTTCACTAGTAATTAATTAGATCAATTATTGAGTGAAATGGGTCTATTTGTAGCAAAATTTAGGGCCTAATGTAATATACGTCGTCATTTGTTACAACTATGCAAATTCTGTAATGCAATTAATCCATTCCATGTTCGTAGATAGATATAACTTCCTCATAGCTATAAATGTGATTTGCTGCGTTAAAGATAGTAATTGCTCATAATTGCTGTAAATAACCCAAATCTAATATGTACTACGAAATTTAGATCAGTTGACTGAGACTCTGCTTTATTTAAGATATAAGAAGTAGTCTGTGTTACTCGTAGAAACAAGACGAGCAGAGATCTTTGCTAGTTGATTTACCATTGAATCTATAGTAAGCTTGAAAATAGAGCTTTGGTACTCGTTGAATTATACGAGTTGAGAAATTGCCTGTGTAGCAATTTCAGTGGACTGCGTGTCCTTTAGAACCGATGTGAATTGTAGCCTGGTTAACCCTATCCCCGCTGGGGTACTTGAAAACCAGGATACGCTGGGGGGGGGGTCAATTTGACCCCCCCCTCTAAATCCCATGTTTTATGTTCAAATATGACAAATGATACATCATTAGAAAGCTCTTGTGCTCTACTTTTAGAATCTGCAAAAAAATTTGCAAATTTGCGAAAATTGAATTTTTTATCGCAAAATCCAGTTTTATAGTAAAAATGTTTGCAAAAAAAAATTTGTCCAAAAAATGACAAATTATACATTTTTGAAAAGCCCTTGACCATGCCATTTCAAATATGCAAAAATTTTTGCAAAATTTTAAATAACCTGATTTTTAATCAAGAAAAACTAAAAATGTGCAAATTTCCTTTGACAGGTTATTTGCAAAAAATTTGCAATTTTTTTTTCGCAAAACTTGTGCAATCCGTTTCCTTATGTCATAGGCTTTCCAAAAAGCTAAATTTTATCAAAATCTGACAAGTGAAAGTGGGTCAAAACAAAGATTTAGTTTGCTACAGGCAAAAGCAGTCATTCAGGCAGTGTGCCTGAGGACTCAGGCAGTTAGTATTAAAGCCCGGTTTTAGGCCTAAAGGGAGGGCTTTGGGTATGTAAGAAAAGTCAGAAAATTTCAACAGCCTCAGACCAATACTTTTTGAGTTATGTAAAAAAAACTACAGGGGGGGGTCAAATTGACCCCCCCCCCCAGCGGGAATAGGGTTAAGATTTGGCCTTTGTGTCATTTAGAACCGGGGAGTTAAGCCTGGTTGATCTAGATAACAAGTAAGACTTGGAAAGATACGTCTCGAGTAAATTGCTATGGAGTAGGCATTTGCTACATGCTTACACGGCAAAAATTTGTATGTCCCATGTTCATTGGACTATTTAGAGCCATACTTTTAGCCTGTCTTCTTCCTATTCCCGAAATATTTGCTTCTCCCTGTACAGTTCGTACAGTTATTATCAAGACAATAATCGAAAGAGTATTTTAAAAATTAAAAATGGCAATCCCTCATATTTTTATATTTTTAGATTTCCGAATTGATGTACGAATTGTGGTTGGATGAAGGCATTCAATATTGCTACAAGAGACGAAGTGAAATTCAGGTAGAGCATAGAGCAGAGTATAGAGCATAGAGCATAGAGCATAGAGCATAGAGCATAGAGCATAGAGCATAGAGCATAGAGCATAGAGCATAGAGCATAGAGCATAGATCATAGAGCATAGAGCATAGAGCATAGAGCATAGAGCTTAAAGCTTAGAATAGAGCGTAGAGCATAGAGCATAGAGCATAGAACATAGAGCATAGAGCATAGAGAATAGAGCTTAGAAATAAAAACTTAGAACAGAGCATAGAGTATAGAGCCTAGCATAGTGCAATGCATAGAGTATAGAGTATAGAGTAAAGCACATAGTTCATATAGCAAAGAGCATGGCAATTTATAGATCTAAGTTAAAGACTAGATACTGTAAGAGAAGGTTCAAATAGCTAAAATTTCAATTTTTCTCTGTTTAGCTTATTTCTTCATGTCAGTACTTCCTGGACAGAATCATTGAAATCTCTGAACCTGGATATATTCCTGAACACCAAGATATTCTCAGATCAAGGTAGATTAAATATGGTCCCAAAACATGTCCCTGCTAAACACCATTAACTATTTCTTTTTTGATTGTTATACCTTTTCCCAGGAGGGGGGGGGAGGAGGCTATTTTTTGTGGTTTTGTGAATTTTATTACCTTTTTATAAAGCATATTCCCTGATCTAACAGATTAAACATCACCGTAGAAATTACATTTAAATAGAAAAAGCTTTTGTTTTTTATTGTTAATTAATAACTAAGCCCTAATCTTGATCTTATTTTTTCCCTTTCGAAACACATCAACTGTTTTAGAGTTCAAACCACCGGAGTTGCTGAAATCAAGTTTTCAATAAATAAACTGGAATTCAATTTCTTTGATGTCGGGGGGCAGAGGTAATAAATAATTTTTAAAGGGACTGTAAGCATAATTTCAAGCTACCCTCGTCGCAAAGCCGGCAATGTCCGATTTACAACGGTACCCTTAAAAGCTTTGTCTGATCAAGTATATAGTTATATTTCCAAGTTTTTGTTTCTTGAAACCGCCTTATTTTTATTTGTGATTTCTCAGCAAAAGTGACTTGCGCATTTATTGCTTCAGAAACAGAATAAACACTTTTCGAGGTAGGAAAACGACAGCATCTTCCATATTTTTGATCAGATCAAGGTTTCCAGGGTACTATTGAGACCGGGCATTGTCATCTGTGCAGAGGGGGTCGTTCCCTGGAATTACGCAAGTCCCATTGTACATTATTAATTATGATTTTATTAAAATTAAATTTGTTTATTTTAATAAACAGATCCCAGCGCTTGAAGTGGTTGAGACTTTTTGGAATGGTTGATTCGGTAATTTTCTTAGGTAATCATTATTGAATGAATAATCGTTATAATACGTTAATTATTAAACCAAAAGCAGAAGATTATAATTAAATAAATAATTAAACTTTAAAAATAAATGTTTAGAGCATTTTTCGTTTGTAAACTTTTTCTTTTTTCATTTCATTTAAAAATATTAAAATAAAATATTTTAGTAAAAGTAATTAAAATCATATTCTTGTTGGGGGACCCTGTACAAACCTAGGAAGAAACCCTACCATAATATCGAACTATCCCCACATTTTTACAAACCACTTTATTCTAAATAACAATCAGATTGTTAGGGTTAAAAATATTTGATATTTATGAAAATTGAACAAATTGTTAAGGTTGTTTGTAAGAATAAATTCACAAAGTTTTCTTCTTAATGCATTTATTCAGTAAATCATTTGTTACAAAGAAATCTATAATAATCGTTTATGAATATATTTTTCAATTAGCGGCACTATCAGATTACGATGAGGTTTTGAGAGAAGACAGAGCAACAAACAGGAAATCATTTATTCATTTTAAAATAGATATTAATACAATTATTCATTTTAAAAAATAGATTTAAATTCATTTTTTCATTTAAAAATAAATATTGATTCAATTATTCCTTTATAAAGAAAATTTGTTCATTTATTTATTTTTAAATTCACTTTTTTATTTATTTATTCATTCTTTAATACTTATTCATCATAGGCATAAACCCATCCACAGATGCCTCTATTTTTGTTGTTTTATCCTCTCCTCCTTTTTCATCATTGATAAAAGTATGGTCAAGTCACAAATCAATTGTACTTCTCTTTCACATTAACCAACGGATTTATTTGAGTTTTTGCCACAAACTCTGATTTTCTAATCTCTATATCTTTGTAACCCAATGTCGTAGACCTTAGATATTTTAAACTATTAATACTTATAGATAACTTAATCTAACTTTGAAATATCAAAGGTTTGCACCATCAGGTTGCAAAGATATTGGGATAAGAAGATTTGAGTTTGTGGCAAAAGCTCAATTCCTTTGGCAGAATTTAACACGTCTCAATAAACGATCAAAATGAAACACTTTTAAACCATGTAAAGTGACAATATCATCTATTTTTTTAGTTTTGAATTGGGAAACGCCATCTTTGCATACTTTGAATAATGCTTGGTCCCTTTAAGATAACAATTCCTTAATTCTGATCAGTTAAAGGTATGAGGATATCTTAATAAATCAGGCATGCAAATATAATTAAAAATATCTTATATAAAAGATATAAAAGATGGTTTAAACTTATAAATGAATTGTATAATAATAATAAAAATAATAATAATGATAATAGTAGTAATAATGTTAATGACACTATTTGTTAAGTATCGAGAAACACGAGTTTATTGAACGCCTCAATAATACTTTTCCTCAACAAAATTGATGTTTTCCATGAAAAACTAAAAATCAGCCCGCTCAGGAAAACGTAAGCTCTACACATTATTTTAAACATAGAAAAAATAAATAAACTATTATTCTTTTTATTAATTTCTAAAAAAAATTTCGCTTTCAAATTTTTTATTCACACATGCAACGCAGGGTCTTTTAGCTAGATTAAATTCTTATATGTTTTCATTCGTAAGTGATAACTCCTAATATTGAAAAGACAGAAAATGTTTTAAAATTCCTAAAAAGTAACAAATAGATTAAACCTTTGATATTTTAAAGTTTAAATATTAAACCCAGCTGCCCAGCATCATGCCTAGCTTAAATATAAAATTTTCTATGCTGAAGGTTGAAGACATATTATAGATATAATCTATATAATAAAGAGCTCTTCCCTCATATATCTATATATATGATCAATATAGTATATGATATATATTTAAAATAAAATATATAATACTAGGCTTTTAGGGCGCTTCGCGCCCATCTTCTTTTTAAATTGTGAACATGTTCTTTTTGTTTACATTTTAAAACAAAGAAGAAAAAAATGTTGCGGATTTTAAAAAAAATTTCGCGGATTTTCAAGAATTAAATTTTTTTACAAAATCAAAAACCTTTAAAAGACTTTTTTAAATTTTTATTATTCATAAACCTTCCCTGTGGTCACGTGATGTCCCACAAAAAATTTGGGCCCGATCGGTTCAGCCGTTTTGACGTTTATTGGATACAAGCAAACAAACAAACAAACAGACAAAAAAGCCAAATTTATACATAGACTTGAATAAGTAATCTATAGCTGGCCATACGGCTGAACCAAATTGGCTGAAATTTTTTAGGAAACCCATTTTTTTTTTAAATTTATCTTTTTCTTCAAAATTTTCATTTGCTCACTATATGAAATTATTGTTCAATACTTTAGACCTAAACACAATTATTAATTTAGATAAATCATAAATCAATAAATTATTTCCTAATTTCAATCTTGTCTTTGGAACTCTTAAACACATTCGTTGGCGTATATATCAATACAATGAATACGACTTTTGAATTCAATTTTTTTTCTACCATTATGGGTACACACTACACATTAACATATTAACAAAGAGAAGCTGTCAATAAACCTAGCTTTTCTTAAATTGCGTGTAACTTGTAATTTAAAAAATTTTAAAAATGTATGATAGAAATCAAAACTCATATATTAATTCGTCTTCATTGTACTGATATAAACGCTGACCAATTATCATTATTATAATATTATTATTATCAGTATTTGTTCAGGTTTCCTGAATACAGCGGGAGAAGGGGTTCCCAAGATGGATTACAGTTTATTACAATGAAGTTTCATTCAGCGTTTGGGTAATTATTTATAATCTTCATAGGTTTTAATCTAATTAATACAAACAAAAATTTGGCTTGTCTGTATGGCTGTTTGCATCCAATAAACGTCAATACGTCTGAACCGATCATGGCCAAATTTTGGTGACAAGTTACACGACAACACAGGAAAGTTTATGGATAGATGGTAAAAAGTGAAAATGTTTTTAGGTAAACCCGCAAAATTACATAACTTGAAATTTCGGGAAATAGATTTTAAAAGTATTCAAGAAACCTTTTTTCGATCTCAACTCTGATATAAGAGTGCACTCTTGATTGACAAGTTGACTAACATGTCTAATTCATATTTGTACTCTTTAAACCTTAATCTGATTAAAAGTTTGGAAGATATCGTCGTTTTTAGCTTGAAAACTGGTTGATTCTGATCATTTCTCCAAATTATGTCACTTTATAGAAAACCACAATTGAAAATAACTAATTAGTAATTTTCAGATAGAAGATATTTAACTGCGTCTCATGAATTCCTGTTTAGAAAAAACTCTTGAAGGCATCTTTATAAATTAAGCAAGGTTATTTTAGCAAGTGCAGTCACTAAAAATTACGCTTGCAGTCCCTTCGAAATTTGATAGACTAAAACTTTGTTCGATTAAAATACAAAACTGCAAAACGACTCGGGTCTAAGCTTATCTACGGCTTGAGCTTTCGGATTCGAGCTGCATCTTATTTTCAACAAAGTTGAGTTCAAAAAACCGGTTTAATATTCTTTTTGGTGGATTTTCATTGAAGGAATGGCGTATTCCGGTTTTTTTGAGAACAAGACTCAACATTGAGTTCTCTACTAAAACAAACCAAGGTCGGTTTTATTTTCATTGGGCCTAACTCCTTTAGTCGAGCCGAAGTTCTTGCAGCTGTCAATCATGTGACACAAGCTGTCGTCAGAGTTGGGTCGAAGATTGGGTCTTAAAGTCGGGTTTAAGGAATTACGGCTAGAGCCGAAATTTTTATATCGAGGGCTCAGAGTAAAATTACAGTTATATCACAATAGGAGGGAATAATAATAATTTGAAAAATTCTCCATCTATAGCATTCTGCATGATACGCATGCATAAAATAAAATAAATTTTTCATAATAATATCTTCTGATGACAAATCAAAATATAAGATACTATAGCATGGAAATCCAGCTTTGCGTGAAAATAAATGTTTTCTATGAAAGTCTACTTACTTAATTTATAATCTAAGATTCTAAATTTGATGCAAATCGGTCAAGGGCTTCATGCGTTATAATAACAAACAGACACCCAAAGAGAGATTACAACTTTAATTATTATATAGACACTAAATTTGGAACACAGCTTTGCCCGGATTTTGTTCTATACAGTTCACTTGAATTAGAATTTTTAAACCGGGCTCAGAACATTTCCATGAAATTCTACTGAATTCCTCTGCCAATATTTGAAGGAAATCTGACAACGGGCCCATGATTTATAATCGAACATACAAACATAAAACAGACAAATATAGAGATTACTACTTTATAAATATATACAATACTAGCAGAGGAACCGAACTTGGCCTGAAAACTAAACGTTCACTGAAAACGTCAATCCATTCTAAAATTGTTAACCAATTTGAGGCAAATCGGTCATGATTTATGATCGGACAAATACATGTACAAATGTTTAGACGAGCGGATGATGAACTGTACGTACACTACACGTGTGCAACAGATACGGAGAACGCCAAGGTCGTCTTCAGCTGTGTCAAGGACACTATTGAGAAGCATATGCTAAGGGCTGTTGGACTATTTTAATGAATCTTACAGAATTCAGTGATAACCAGAAAACTGTGAAATACAAGGACGACTTTTAGAATCAAGTTAAAACTATAAAGGGTCTATTGAGCATGACATGATGAAATACAACAGTTGTGCAGTGTGAACAGGCCGATTTCAAATTTCAAAAACATCAAATACTCTTAAGTGTTGCTATAATGTTCTCTTCCTCTTTCAATGTTTTCTGGTTATCACTGTATCTAAAATTTTAACTTTTACTGATCTGAAAGGAAATGAATTTTTGCCACAAACGCAAACCTTCCGATATCTACATCCTTGCATCCTTTAATATTTCAAACTTAGATTATTTGATCTAACATAATTTTAAGTTTGAAATATAAAAGGTCTACTACGTTGGGTTGTAAAGAGTTTGTGGAAAGAACTCAATTTTTTTCTAGTTAAAAATCTGAAAACACTACTCAAATATTAAGTTTTTTAGATTTATCAAATTGTACAAAAAATCTGATCATTTTATGTTTTTCCTTGACCAAATATTGGTTAATTCACATTGAGAACTAAATCTAATGTAAACATCCAAGAAAAATAAATGCAAAAGCAAAAATTGGCTTGGTTTGTAGGCTATTTAGCTCTGGTCACATAAAGAAATATATCCAAAAAGCCCATTTAAGTTTCTCCCATGGTCAGATTTAGAGATAGATCTTTTAAAACATCTATAAATTATCTTGTAATAATGATAAACAAATTTGGTAATTAGTTTATTAAATGCTCCTGTTGGGTTTCACTATATGTTTTACAAAATCGACCCATAATTGTTAAAATTATGACCTCTGGCTAAAAAATAGGAAAAATAATTTTTATCTTTGCCTTTCATTCAAAAGCCCATAAAGATATATGCTGATCAAAATGGCAAATTTGTTTATCACGACTTTAAGATAATTTACAAAGTTTTGAAAGTTCTAGCACTAAAGCTGACCGTGGGAGAAGCTGAAATGTGGTTTTAGCACATATTTCTTTATGCGCATAAAGCTATATAATCTACAAAGCCAGAAAATTTTTGATTTTGCATTTTTTTTTTTGGATATGTCAATTAACCAATAATTGGTCAAGTAAAATGAACAGATTTTGTGTACAATTTGTAAATCCTAAAAACCTGACATTTGAGCAGTGAAAACTAAAGGCCGGGCTTTGGGGGAAAATCCTCACCAAACATCAGTTTTTCCTGATCGAATTTGTACTTGCAAAAAATAAGAAAAAATTCAAAATTTGAAAACATGTCTGATTGAATTGTCGTGTTTTTTTGCAGTATTGTAACGAGATGGGTTGGATCGGGTCACCGAGACACCTTTAAATTTAAGAAAAAATAAATGATTTTTAACTGTGAAAAGGGGGCTCTGCCCTACCCATTACAACGCTGTAATTTCAGACACCTATAGTTTGTTCAAATTTTTATAAAAACGGTAAACCATGTTTACTTTACATACTTAAAATTTTGAAGGAGATAACCAATCATGTTCAGTGATCCGGGATCAGACTTCAATTTAAACGAAATGTTTTAGAACTCTGTATACTAAATTGAACTACTTTTCTTGAGTTTGATCCGGTACACGAGAGTATATTTAACAACTCACTATTCATTAAATCTGGCCCCATTTGTTGATGCTAAGTAGAATAAATTCTTTAAAAATATTTTTTTGAAAGTAGGTCGATGTTAAAAGAAAAGTTTTTCATGAAAAGTGTTTCAAATTTTCTAGAATTTTGAGTTTTGATAAATCGTTGAAAACCTCGGAAGACAATGCCAACTTCTATTTACCTCTAAGATCAATAGAATAATCTGTCCACAACTTGAAAATGAATAAACTTTAAAAAATGTAATCTACATTCTTTATGCCATTGAAAATCAAGTAAATATTCTTAGGGGAAAAATCAACAAGATTTAAATTAAGTAAGTAATATCTCAAAAATAAATGTAATTAAACAAATCATACTTATTTAATATTACTCTTGATTTTGATTTCCTTTTTAATTGTTTCTTTTTGCACCCTTTTTCTTATCTTCTTTAGAATGTCATTGTTACTTGGGGGGGGGGGGGGGGGGATGCAAATGTTAAAGGAAAAAATGTGTCTTTTTTTACTATTTCGACGCTGTTACCTAAAACTGATCGAATAAAGATTTTTGTATTTTTCAAAGTTTATTAACAAGGCATATTCCAGTTGGCATTTACGGGTACATTAAAACTAGATACAGTATAGTACAAGATTTGACTTTTGTTAAAACCTTAAATCTAGATTGCAATGTCCCGTAAAGCAACAGTTAACATCGTCTCTATAAACACTAAAAAGGATTGCGAATGTACGGTACAATATTTGATGATTTGTTCAACGAATGAATTTAAATAACATTTGTACGCGTGATGAATGACCCATCGCAACACCTGAAAGAAGTCCTAACCACATGAACGCAGTTATACCTCCTTTCATGTGCTGGGAAGCTGTCATTAGCACAGCCAGTCTTCAGTAGCAACATATCAACTTAGTGGGCAGCGGCGGTGGCATAGCCGTTGACTGCGGGGGCAGCAGCATAACCGTATCCAAGGGCAGCAGGGGCGTATCCGTGAGCAATGGGAGCAGAGACGTGGTTGGAGTGGGTGATGATAGGAGCAGCAACAGTCTTCCTGACAATGGTCTCTCCAACAACAGGGACAGGATGGGGGACAGCATAGGGTTTGTCAACATGGACGGCAGTGGGGACCTCAACAATCTGCTCCCTGAGAACGGGGACATCATAGGGGACCTCAACACGTCTCTCAACATAGACAGGCTCATTGACAGTGTGGATCTGGGTTTGGGTCTTGACAATGGGAGCATTGATGGACTGAGTTCCCTTAAGGACTGTGGGGACCTGAATGGGAAGATGAGGGGTAGCGGGCTTGTGGATGGCGGTATTGTATCCAGAGACATAAGAGGTCTGACCATAGTGAACCTCCTTGGTGACGATGGGAGCGGGTTGGTGAACGGTGGTAACACCTTCACCCTGGGTCTCAGTTTGGTAGGGGGCAGGGACGGCTACAGCCGGAGCGGCAACAGCGACTGCGGGAGCAGCAGCATAGGCCAGATGGGCAGGTGCAGCTGCATAACCCAGATGAGCGGGGGCAGCAGCATAGCCAAGAGCTCCGGCGTATCCGAGAACGTTGGAGGGAGCAGCGTAGGCGCACCCAAGGATGAAGGTTAATGCGACCTGAAGAAAAAATTCATTAAAAGATATTTTTGATCATTTGATATATTGAAAAAATTAGACTCCCAGAAAAATTATGAATACAGTATACTTTGCATGTCCGTTTGTTTAACTGTTTGTATCCAATAAACGTTAAAACGGCTGAACTGATCGAGCCCATATTTTGTGTGGGACCTCACAGGACCCCAAGGAAGGTTTATAGAGGATCAAAATTTCAAAAATTGGCCTCCAACAAAATAAGATCTTCATTAAATTTGAAAATCTACAAAAATTTTTTATAAAAACTGCTAACTTTTTTGTTTACGTTTTACAACGCATACAAAGAGAAAATGTTCACAATTAAAATAGAAGATGGGCGCGAAGCGCCCTGTAAGCCAAATTATTATTAAAAAGGCTATTATAATAAAAATGAAAAATATTTCAATGTAAGCTAACAAAAAATAGGAAAATTTTTAATGAATAATGTGAAAGACTTACAAAGGGTCTCATGTTGCTGATTTATGAGCTGCTGAAGACAGACTGTAGCGCTAACATCTCCACAAAACCCTTATATATCGATGCAACAATAGATAGATAGATAGATACCCTACAGATACTTCACTGATAGATAGATAGGTATTCTGCAGATAGACAGATACATCTTCGGTAGAGAGATAGATAAATACCAACAAGCAAGTTTTTCAATTGGTCTTAACTCCACCCTTGCATAGCTTTCAAAGAGGGACATGATAGATAGATTGCAAGATAGATAGATAGATAGATGGATAGGAAAATTTCTGCCATCTTGAAATTACAAAGAATAAATAAGAACAAGGATATCCATAAAGAATGAGACATTATGCTTAATAAATAGGTAAAACTGCTTAATAATCTTTATGTTTTTACAATTATTGTAATCTTGTTAAAAATAAATAAATAAAATCAAAATCAAAATATAAGAATTATTTATTGTGTTATTAACATTATTGTATAAAATTGTATTATTAATATTATTTCAAAATTAGGAAATCAACAAGTGGACAAATAGACAGATAGACAAATAGACAAAAATACGGTAGAAAGATAAAAAATAGATAAATAGACAGATAGACAAATAAACTGATAGAGTGTAGACAGATAGAAATACAGACAGATAAAAAATATACAGAGATACAAATACAAATATACAAATATGTAGCAAAAGTCGTGTAAACATGATATCTGTAAACTTGCAGTACGTTGTACGTCATAAATGATTAAATGTTTTAAACTTAAACATAATGATATTATTTAATGAAACTGTGTTTCAATTAAATACTTAACATAATTAGCTTAAATCATGTGAAATAAAGAAGGTACGCAAATCCTGTAATGCGATTGAATTCATTCCATATTCGTAGATGATATGACTACGTCATATCCTTGTTGTGATTGCCTGATATGTATACATATTAACCACTCATAACTTCTAATTACGCTGTAAATAACCCAATTATACGTTGTAAAGGCCGTAATAAATTTGAATTTCCTCACCAGGTTAACCTTTCCGGTCCCAGTTTGTACTGTATTGCTCGGACATTGGTTAATAAACTAGCCGGTGCATCAAAGTTGACGCGGTCAGACTTTAGGTTGAATTTACTTTTAATAAAGGGTCAGAGGTGAGTGTGGGGAGTTAAGCCTGGTTGAGTTTAGGACGGTGCGTCCTTTAGAACGAGGAGTTAAGCCTGGTTGAGATTTGGAATGCGTGTGTCCTCTAGAACTGGGTAGTTAGGCCTTGTTGAGATTTGGACTTCGTGTCCTTTAGAACCGGGGAGTTAAGCCTGGTTGAGATTTTGACTGTGTGTCCTTTAGAACTGGGGAGTTGAGTCTGGTTGAGATTTGGACTGTGTGTCCTTTAGAACTGGGGAGTTAAGCCTGGTTGAGATTTTGACTGTGTGTCCTTTAGAATCAGAGAGTTAAACCTGGTTGAGATTTTGACTGTGTGTCCTTTAGAATCAGAGAGTTAAGCCTGGTTGAGATATTGCCTCTGTGGAATTTAGAATCGGAGAGTTAGTCCTGGTTGATCTTGTTAAAGAGTAGACCTGGATAATTACGTCTCGAGTAAATTGTTCTGGATCTTAGGTATTTGCTACAAATAGACAGATATAGACAAATGCACAAACAAACAAATATACGGATATGAAAATAGACAGATGGATAGATGAATAGATACATAAATGTTTCTGAAAAATGTCCAACATGAAACACAGTGACCAGAATTTATATTATATTATATTACATTATAATTGTATTATAATATATTATATTCTTTTCTATTTTATTCTATTCTAAAAACCTAACTTAATGAACAATAGAACATGTTCTAGACTTATTTTAAGAAGATAGATATATACATATATAGATATATAGACAGATAGATAAATAGATAGATAGATAGGATAGATAGATAGTTAAATAGATAGATTAAAACACCCGGATTGATTAAGGTGGTGAACTAGAACTGTGTGAATTGAACGTCTTCAGGATGACCTTTTAAGACAGGGAACCGGCTCCAGGTGGAGAGCAGAGTAGAGTAGAGAGGAGAAATATAGAAACCATGGTTAGCTACAAGCTACCACCTAGAGAGGATAGGGTTGGGAAGGAAGAAGAAATGAGAATGTAACATCAGAATAGGATAGAACTGAAGCTAGTAGAGTAAAATGATAAAGTGTATTTAATCTATTCTTTAAAAAACGAATAGAATACAATACAAGAATAGAATAGAATAGAAAATAATATAATATATACCTCAAGCTATACGTATAAAGTTTATTACTTAAACCTGGTTTCGATACAAATCTATAATTTCTATATTATTTAAAAAACATTTTAATTTTTCAATGTTTTCTCGAACGTTTATATTACAAGTTTCGTAAGAAAACTATTAATTAGCGCAAAGGTCAATATATACTATACAGTGATAACCAGAAAACTCTGAATTAGGAAAAAGACTTTTGAAATCAAGTAAAAACTTTAAAATGTCAAATAAGCATGAGACACAACAATTGTGCAGTGTAAACAGACCCATTTAATAAATACCACAGATATCTGGTTATCACTATATTTTTTTGTAATATGATCTGTTATGGAAATCATTGATTTAAACATTGGTTTTTATTATGGGTTCCATAAAAACCTGAAATGTTCACCGTTCCACTTTACAATGAAAATCTGCCCAATAATTGATTCTTAAAGGGAATGACCGACAATGTATGGTGGTTGAACTGAGTATGCATTATTGTGGACAAAGAAATTGGAAAATCTTTCCCTGGGACATTTAGAGAGATGAAAATTCTACAAAAAAAGTTGCCAAACCAAACAGAATTTTTATTTAGAAATTATATTGAAGCTTTTCTGGGTTGCACTTTACTCTAGTTTTGCATAATTTTCATTTGTGTAAAACAGTAAAAAAGAGATTCTGTCGATGGTTTAAAACTAAACAGCTTATGATTCATTGGAGGGAGGGATGGCAAATCACCAATTTGTAATTTCCAAATCTTTTTATGAAAAGTGATTGTAACAGTTTATACGGAGTGCTTCAGGGTACAGGGTGCTACAATGTACTGCAAAGTACTGGGCTTTACTGGGGTAAATTCTGATTGGTTTCTGTACCTCTTGTACAGAATCCAATCAGAATTTTTATTTTTAATAAGAAAATATAAGCACTTCTAAGCCTTTTTCTTCATAGTTTTGCACTATTTTCATGGACGAAAAAGCTGGTTTAATGCTAATCAGCTGATCCCTTAATGGAGGGAGGGATGGCAACCACGCCAATTTGTAATCCCCATATCTGCAGAGTACTGCTGGGTACTGTGGGGTACTTTGGTGTAGTGTGGGGTACTGCTGGGTACTGCTGCATGGTACTGTGGGGTACTGTGGGGTACTGTGGGGTACTGTGGGGTACTGCTGGGTACTGCAGGGTAATGCTGGGTACTACTGGGTACTGGGGGTACTAGGCCCATACTGTGGAAAAAGAGGGGGTACTGGGGGGTACAACAGTGAACTGGGTGCAGTTGGAGGTACTATGGAGTAATAGAGGATATTAGGGGATACAGTGGAGTACTTTGGGCTACTGTGGGGTACTGTCGGGTATTGCTGGGTACTACTGGCGGTTGGGGGTACTAATGGGTAATGGGGGTACTAAGGGATAATGGTGTTCCTCTAGAGTACCGCAGTGTACTGGGATGTACCCTTCAGTTCATCCGCACCCTGAAGTACCCTTGTACCCTGCAGGGTCCCTATACCCTTCAGTACCGTGTAGCCATCTGTACTCTGTAGTATTCTTTACCTTGTAGTGCCCTGTGCCCTGAAGTACTATGTACCCTGCAGTACCCTGTACCAGTACCATGCAGGACCCTGTGCCCTGCAGTATCCTGTAACCTGCCGTCTGTCAATCCTTTTGTACCCTGCAGTATATTCAGTACTATTCTGCCCTGCAGGGCAATCTGGGGTACTGGTATAGATGGGCATACTGCCGGGTACCCAGCATTAACCCCCCAGTACCCCACAGTATCCCATATCCCCCTATACTACCCATAACCCACATATCCCTCAATACCCTAAGTACCCCCTAGTGCTTGGTAGTACCAAGTACATGTACCAACTCTCTAAGGAAGTAGCATTTAAGTAAATGTTTCTAGGTATAATATAGGTTTACTGTTCAATTTCTAAAGCCAGTTAATTTTTTGAAAATTCAGACTTCTAATTTTTTTAAACACAAATTTTACAAAAAATCAGTTTGATTTCTCTGTCTTAAAAGTAACAAAGGTTTGGTGGGTTAAACAAGGACTAAAGTATACACATTATTGTAGTGAATTTAATTCGTTTAATTCAAATGTTTTGAATTAAGATTATTTATATTCAACGAAAATTGTTTCTATCAAAATGTGTTGATATTAAAAGTGTTTACAAGAAAAACTTAATAAACTAGTACGTGCTTTTACTTGAACTAAATTCAAATGCAAATTTAAGTAAGAGCCTATGCTTTTAAAATTTCTCACGTCCAAAGCCTGCATTCAATGGAATATTCCTAGTCACGTTTATTAAAAGATAGATTGACCTTATTGCTTCAAATTTTTTATCATGGGATGACCGAGTTTGTTCATTACTACATTTAGGTGCTTTAACCTTTGGAAAAACAGGATTTTTATAAAAAAGGTTAATAATGTCTGTGGGAACACATGGATTTTATTAGTATTCATTTAAAGTAACCCCCCTCCTCACCTTGATGGATTTGGAAAATTTAAAAAAAACGTCGTTGAAACAAATCACACAGACGCACACATTTGCGAAATTAAAATATAATATACAAGTTGTCCCATGAAACATTTTGCAGATCAAAAATTTTGGCTTATAAAGAAACATCAGACCAACAGCAATTACTTAAATAAATAAATAAATGTACGTAAATTTGTCAATTTTAGGTTCTGTATGAACAAATGAAAATAATATGTAAAAAAATCTAAATTTGAAAAATACGGGAAGTCGATTTTTCGGCTCATCTACTTCATACTTAAAGAAGTAATTATAATATAAACAGAATGCCTTAAAATATCTGAAATATAGAGCTTTCTAATGTTACCATGGTTGGGAAAATTTAAATAAAATTGTTGCCTCAGTACCCAATACTACTGCAAATTTTTGTTTGGACACCTGTATATAATATATATCTACATAAATTTTCCATTAATTTCATAATTTAAGAACTTCTTAAAATTTATATATTTCTTATGTGTTCCCAAAAATTGTAAAATACGACATTGAATATCCTAAGAAGACGACATTATTTAGAAAATCACCTTTTCTTGTTGCCTGTATTTTCCCCATATCTGGGGGTTAATCCTCAATCTAGAGCACTACCCCGAATATATTATTAAACATTTCTGAAATATGTTTTAACGTTATACTTTCCAATTACAATGTTAAAGGGCCATGGACAAAATCAGTTTCAACCCTGTTATTTAGTCAATAGAACGTTAAATGATAAAGTGTAAAAACAGAAAAAAAGAATATATAAAATTGCACTGATTTCACCAAAAGATTGGCACTTCAGTCTTACATTATCACTTTTATTAATAGTTTTTTCAGACACAGAATTTGAGTTGACACTTATGACGTGTGATTATGTGATTATGTGAGATGAGATCTGAAAGAAGCCCCATCTTGGGCAACCCAGACCGCCTACAGGATTATCCGACCCCTACCGGTAAGAAAAATACAGCTGTACTGAAAGTGTACGCATTCTGTGTTGCCATCTATTGTACTTGACAACCTATTTGGGTTTAACCCATCAACAGAATCTCTTTTTTACACAAATGAAAATAATGCAAAACTAGAGTAAAGTGCAACCCAGAAAAGCTTCTATATAAGTTCTAAATATTTTTGTTCAAAATAAAAATTCTGTTTGGTTTGGCAACTTTTGCAGAATCTTTCCTACTTTCTGAAAGGTTTTACATCGGTATGTTTAAGGATATCTACTCGATATAAAGCAATATTTATCAATACTTATTTTGACTCAAACTCTTAACTAAATGAATATAGAAAAAATATGCCGGTTTAAGAAAGTTTTAGATAGATATTTGCAATCATCCAGACCAAAAAGTTTTATAAAAAATTAAAATTTATAAGTTTCATAGGAGTTTTTAGAAATATGCAAAAAAAATAATTCTGACACCCTTAGGCTTAGTACGCCAATATAATTCACCAAAACCATACTACAGTCCTTCAAGTATCATACAGGGAAATTTTTGTCTTTCTAAACATCCCAGGGAAAGATTTTACAGGTTCTTTTTTAGGATTCATTTGAGACAAATGAAACATTTCCACGATTATTACTGAGTTTGAGTGCAAAGACGACGATCAAAATCATGAATTTTGGTGGGTACGTTTTCAGATTCGTTTTTAAATTATTAAATATTAAGTACCCCAACAGCAGGGATAGGGTTAAAGAAAATCAGCTGGATTTTAAGTACCCCAACAGCAGGGATAGGGTTAAAGAAAATCAGCTGGATTTCAAGTACCCTAACGGAAGGGATAGGGTTAAAGAAATTCAGCTGGATTTCAAGTACCCCAACAGCAGGGATAGGGTTAACTAATTTAAATAATAATTCGAATCTTGTGAAGGAACGCCCAGAATTTGCTTAAGCCTCGTAATCTTTGAAGAGCTTGTTTTCGCCCTAATGTATAGCAATGATTGTATGTATAATATTCGTCTTAAAGCTGTATTAAATAAGTCCTCATCTGCACTCTCATTCAACTTCCATACCTAGCCAGTAATCCCCTTAACAGGGAAACAAGAAAAAAGCCAAAATTAAAATTTATTTTATCAATGTTCAGCAAGTTAAACAAGAATGTTTTTATAAATGTACTCAGGCGAAGGTTGCTGTTAATCCAGCATTCTCTTTTTTATTGTATTTGTGGAAGGTGACTAGAAATAACGTGAACATACCCTTTAAGTTTTTTTACATATTAGGACGTAATTAAAAGATGTTCAATCCAAATACGATAAAATTTTGAATTAGATACATATTCCTTATACAAAATAAATATTTAGTAAAATAGGAGGTTTTTAATCTTTTAAAATGAAGGGAGGAGGTCTGCGTACACAACAAATATACTGTACATGATCACAAACAGACGGAGTTAAGTGTAAGCCATTGTAGTTGATGAAGGGAGGAGGTCTGCGTACACAACAAATATACTGTACATGATCACAAACAGACGGAGTTAAGTGTAAGCCATAGTAGTTGATGAAGGGAGGAGGTCTGCGTACACAACAAATAAACTGTACATGATCACAAACAGAAGGAGTTAAGTGTGAGCCATTGTAGTTGATGAAGGGAGGAGGTCTGCACTTTGCGTACACAACAAATATACTGTACACTACATGATCACAAACAGGAGTTAAGTGTGAGCCATAGTAGTTGATGAAGGGAGGAGGTCTGCGTACACAACAAATATACTGTACATGATCACAAACAGAAGGAACATCAGAGGGAACACAATCCTGAAAGTTTTGCATTTATATAAATGTTTTAAATATTGTGTTTAATCAAGAATGCGAATTATATTGTTATTTCTTTAATTATTGGAGGATTTCCCTAATTAACAACTTGTTGGAACAGTTGATAGCGTTTAATTGATAAAAAATGTGTAAAAAACACCGGCTTCCACTGGCAATTGATTAGAACCAAATCATGGTACCCCATCAAATAAGTCCAAGAGCAAGGCCAGCTAAGGCGGCCCTGTACAAATTGTTGAATAGATACTTAAACTAAGAAACTTGCCAAAAAAATTATTTTGACCATTACTTTTGAAACCGCAAGAAAACCGCTTTTTTGGCAATCCTCAGATTTTAATTTTAAATGATGTTTTTTTTATCATTTTGGAATTCGCAAATACAGTTTTAAAAGACTAAATTTAAAGAAATTACATTGTTTGAAAATTCGTCAATCTATCAGCAAATTTAGCTGCAAAATCGTCAATTTTTCTTCAACGCACGTACACCTTAAGACCAACACCTTGGCAATTAAAAAAAATTATTTTTATTTTTCTGTTTGGTGTCATATTTTTAAAATGTGCTTATTTGTTCATATATATTAAGAAATGGCCGACCTAAAAGCATTTCAAAAAAACTTGCTAGCTTGGCTCTTGCACTTGTAGGACGGGGTACCATGATTTGGTTCTAATCAATTGCCGGTGGAAGACTGAGTTTGTACGCAGCAGATTTTTGTATAATAAAACTTTATTTTTCCAACAAGGTATTAATTAGAGAAATTCTCCAATAATTAAAGAAATTACAATATTTAATTCGTATTTTTGATCAAAAACACCTCGTACTTACTCATCGTAGCGCCTGTCAGATGAGAGTGTATGGATTCTCACCATGCAGTGCTATGCAGACTACAGAGTATGCTCTTGACTTTATCAATTTGAACTTAAGAGGGTTTGTCTGTCTGTGCTATTGCTTACATACAGAGAACACTCTGCTAAACCCTACTATTTCTTCGGTTAGTGTACTGCAGACATAGATTAATAACAATATAGATAGAACACTAGATGTCGTCTTTTCAAGATTTAAAGGTTTTTCCGTTCACAATTATCCTGTGGCAGAAGCTCAAAGGAGTTCCCCGCAGGCAGCATTGAATTACAAGACAGAGAGAGAGCATGTGCATAATTCCTTTGGGCCTCTGCCTCAAGGGTATTGTGAACGAAAAACTCCTAAATCTTAAAAAGACTACATCTGGTGTTCTATCTGTATTGTTATTAATCTATGACTGCAGATAACTGCAGAACGCATCAAAAACTAAGTTGAGGGTGATAGCATCCCATTTCAAATGTGATTATCTCCTAGCTTAAACTCCAAAATATACACATAATACTCCAAAAACCTGGTATTTTCTGCTATCAACATTTTAAACTAGCATCATACATTTTTTAAAAATGACTCATGTTTTTAAATTTTCTGATTAGTCCCTTAAATCTCATTTTAGAGCTTTAAACGATTTAATAGCTTGTGGGACACCCTGTAGCACTGCACTGGGAAGAATTCATACACTCTCAAATGATACCGGTACTATACTACTATGTAAAACAGTGTCCTGTATATGGTCCTTTCTTTGAAAAATACCCACAATGTCCCCAAAATTTTAAATTAAGCTAATCGAATCTTACCACTCATATTTTCTAAAAAATGGGTAATATGTATTATCAAACAGGGGAACAACGCTGAAAACTCCATTCAAAGTAACGTACAAATATATTTACAGACTATATACTATATAGACAGCAAAATTGGGACAAAAGTAAGCATATCCCTCTAGTGAGATTTTTTACTGTTGTGTCCGTCCATATATCATTATATTGCACTGTGAGCGTAAACTAATTTAACTGTTCTGAATATTCCTGTCCCAGAAATCTTTTAATTTGACAAATTAAACATAAATTTTTATGTAAAGTTTCTCACTTTAACTTTTTTGTTGATGGATGCGTTTTAAATAAAAAAGTCTTTCACGAAAACTCTGACAGGTTAATTGATTGTTGAATTTTAGACCAAAACTGGATTGTATTCAATAAAATTGAATGAAAACGAAAAATGCTAAATCTTGATGTTTGTTAAAGCAAATAAAAAATGTCAATAAAGAGACACGAAATTGTGGAATTGGAAGACGACCTTAAAGCAATTATTAATTGTTTTGATGGTTGATAAATAAACTTTTTACAAAACGTATTAAGTGAAATGGGTCAAAATTTTTGGGCCTTATGTTTCTTGGAATATTTAAGGTCATTGGTTTGAAAAGTCGTCTTGATATTCCAGAGGTTTCTGGTTCACATTGTACTTTAAATAGAAATAATATTTGTCTTAAAGATTTTTAAATTTCCGAAAAAGTACTTCTTGAAATAAATATTGAATAAAGGATTAAGTTATAATCTACAATTTGAAAAATTTAAATCTCAAAATTTATTTTCATTTAGAAACCAGAACAAAATGTTAACCAAAAATAACCAACAGAACCAGAAATAACCGGAAAAAACCAAAAAAAAAACACAGAAATTACCGGAAATAACCAAAAAGAACCAAAAAGAACCAAAAAAAACAAAAAGAACGAAAAATAACGCGGATATTTTCTTAAATTTAAACAAAGGTTTAATGCCGGGAGTATTTGCGAAAAATGAAAGGGGGTATAGGCTTACGGCAAAAAAAGCGCTTTTGATCGCTACTAATCTTACTTTTATCTGTTGTGTTTATAAGGAGAAAATTGTTAAAAACGACTCATACTAAAGATTGTAGCGTCCATACAAATTTAGAAAGAATTGCTACATTCAACTCGGATCTCAAAATAATCAATTTAATTCCAAACAAATCTTTCAGATATTACAATAGTCATTGATTATTTTTCGACGCATTTGTTTAAAGTTAATATTTCATAATATTTTTGATTTTATGTTTTTAAGATAATATTTACTAGCGCTGAATTTATTAACATTCATGGAAAATATGAAAATGTCGTCTTTATTATCACAAATCCTCGAACCAGGAATAAATGATTTCAAAAGAAACTCTGAGATCATAAAAAAATATCATGAAATATCAACTATATACAATTGCATCGAAAAATTATCGATGATCATCAGTTGTAATATCTGAATGATTTGTTTGGAATTAAATTGATTTTTTACGATCTGAATTGAATGTTGCAACTTTCTGAATGTGGATGGACTCTATACGTTCTTTGGTATGGGTAGTTTTTTACAATTTCCTCCTGATAGACGCAAGCGCAACAGATAGAAGTAAAATTAGTAGCGATTAAAAGCGATTATTTTTCGCCGTAGGCCTATAACCCCTTTCATTTTTCGCGAACACTCCCTTTAAAGATTACCGTTGTGAATCGGACATGCCCCTCTTTGAGTGGAGAGCCACTTAAAATTAGGTCAATAGTCCCTTTAATTTTAAGTAGAGGCTATTTCAGATTTGTTATCATTCTCTTTAAGCATAAACATAACTTGACATTAAAGCAGTTGGTGCTTATTTGTTGTTTTACGGTTCGTGGCGATTCATTGATTTTGTTACATCATTGGGGCTGGGCGTCGTTCCTGAGAAACGATCGTTCTTTCACGGGAAAGAACGGAACAGAACGGAACGGAACACATGATACATGATTACATTACATTGCATGAAAGCAAAGCACAAAATTTCCAACTGCGTAAGTTAAAACTTTTATATTATGAATCTTGGAAGCAGGCATTGATCTTCAACTTCAGTAAAACTATGGATTAATGTATTCCTCTTCTATATCCCGACGTGGTTATACCCTGCACCGGGATTACTTTAATTCAAGGATTAAGTATTTACCCTTCAATTTTGAAATGCCCACAATTGTAGATTATTTTCAACTATGGGTTTAATGGACTAACCAGGATGAGATGCGTTCGGTTTCTTTTTTTCAATTCAATCAAGTTTTAATTTATAATTTATTAATCTTAAACTTACGGAGTTGTTTTGTTCTACTCTTTTATTGGTTCATAGACTACGTCTATTATCCCTTTAAAGGAATTGTAAGCGTAATGTCAATCGACACCCCATACAAAGATGGCATTGCCCGATTTACAATGGTACCCTTGAAACCTAAATCTGATCAAAAATGTGGAAGATTGATTCTTTTAAGCAAGAAAAGGATATACCATTGTAAATCGGCAATTGTCATCTTAACATTGTCACTTGAAATCAAGCTCACAAATATTGTCTCTTGAAATATAAAAATGACTAATTATTCTAACCTTGCTTTTGTATCAATCCAGATAGCGATTTCTTCGTAACTCATGGACTGAAACTGCTCCATGATATTTACTGGTTCATCCTTAATTTATCTACAGTGAGAACCAGAATATAGTAGAATAAGAAGACGACATTAAAGTAAAACGCAAGTGCAATTGATGTTGTTACAAAGCAAATATTTTAGCTATTAAAGGCACTGTAAAGGAAAAATGAGAAGGGGGTATAGGATGAAACCTGAGAATCTCATCAGGCGTTAAACGATATATATAAGACATTATTCGATAATTCTGTTTTTTTTTGACAAAATAGCAAACAAACATACAAAATATCGAGCTTAAATGTGTGCTTAATACAAGACTACATTTATAGTTTTTTTTTATTACAATAAATCAGAGAAGTTAAATTTTTTTAAAAACTTTTATTGATTATTACCTTCTCTTTTCCATCCTCCTCATCCTTCACTGTAGTTCGGTTGTTCTTTCTTTTCCTGGGCAAAAAGTAGAATGCACAAAACAATTTCGGAATTCAACCAAAACAAGAAACATGACAGACACTGTCGTCATTATTATACCAAGTTATCCCTTATTTTAAAAGTGACATGCCCCATTTACAAATGGTACAAATGGTTAAAAATACATGGTTGATTCACAACGATACCCTTTAAACCTGATCATGCAATGAATGAGATATATCCAAGTTTTTCTAATAAAAATTTATGTTTTCAATTGTGGGTTCTGCACACAACGGTACTATAAGTGGCTTTCGGATTTATGAATCAGAGGCAATAAAGGAAACTGTTAATCATACAGGGTGTCCCACGAAACATGACATTTAATAAATAGCTATTTTAGTTAAACAAATCTTTTGCTTAATTATATTTTACTTTGAAATCAATTTTGATATAATATGACTCCCATATAATATTTTTATTGATCTTTGGTATCACACAACTTAACTTACTATGGAAAAAGACATTCTAAACTATTCACCAACTGTCATGTTTCGTGGGACACCCTGTACATGCTGCTCTGCTAATGTAGAATTACTTAAAATTCCGTCTTCAACCCTCTAAGAGTCAACATTATTAAAGGTAGGGACTTACTGGCCATGGTACAGTGAAACCCTTAATAACGAATACATAGAAAGAATTCATCAAATGTTGTATTCTTCACTTTCTGATAATGGAATATTGCAGATATTTAGTTTTTTAATTAAATGATTATATGGACCTCTTTAAAACTGTTTCCGCATATTCATGGCTATTTATTTATTTTCGCAAATAATGAAATTGACGTAATATAGTATAAAACTCATTGAAAAATTGTCAAGACGACATTTGATAAATTCTTCCGATTAAGGGTTTCACTGTAGCTGAAAGTGCAGTATTGTACGTAGAGAAAGACTTTAGGATTCATTTGATACCAATGAGACATTATTACGGTGTACAATTTTTAAATAAAAGCGTAAAGTTGTAATTGCAATAATTCACCATTTGTTTCAGTCAGAAGAAGAATTATTTTTTACAACTATATAATAATCCGGACAAAACACGTGAAAAAGAATATTTTATGGATTAATTTGATGTTTAGGAAATTTATTTCTTAAAAGAAACTATCGATAAAAGCCATATTAGAACCGTAGAATTTATTTTTTCATTTTATTATTACCTTAACTGCATCTATAGTATTATTCGCAGATTTTTTCAAAGTGTTGTCTTCACATTAAAAATAAAGAAAACCTTAGCTGAAATAATTTTCAATAGCCTGCAAGATTTTAAAGGAATTTAAAACTTATTTTTAATGATATAAGTTAATATTTCTAAAACTAAATAACGAAAAGTTTTGACTTAAATTTTAAGTTCATGGTTAAATGCCACTTCTGACTTAATTTAAACCTGAACTTTAACCGTGAGGTTAAATATTTAACCCTGTGGTTAAATATTTAACTCGCCGAAATCGACGAGTTAAAATTTAAACACAGGTTTAAAATCTTGAAATCCTGCATTTTCCCTATTTTGTCCATTATTCAATCATCATTCAGCTGCAGCTGAGAAAGCGGCATTCAACTTTACGATATATTTAAAAGTGAAAACCTTGTTAAAGAAATTTCATGTTTTAGATAAATTAATTTTTGGAAATTTGGATGTAAACCCAAAAAACGGTTGTATGTTTTGTTTTCGGTTACGTAAGAACAGCTGATTAGCGATGGTTATGTAATATTCTCCGTAAATTCTTTTCTCTGATTGGTTCAGATTTTCCCGGGAAATTCAAATTCATTATTCATTATTTCACAGAACTTTTAACCTCGAGCTTAAAATTCGCGCATTCTTTAGTTTTAGACTCTGTTTAGTTCAGTTCAGTTTGCATACATGCAATTAGTTTAAAGAATGGTATTAATTACATGTTTTGTCCATGTTATTACAGAATTGTAAAAAACGTTTATTCTGCTGACTGAAACAGCTGGTGAAATATTACAAAGAACAATACGCTCTTATTTAGAAATTGTACACCGTAAAATGTCTCATTGGTATTATATGAATTCTAAAGTTGTTTGCAGTCTGCACTTCAGCCTAACTACCATGTCTAGTGAGTCGCGATGAAAAAGCTGCAATTCTTTTTATAACACAAATTTAGGCCATGAATTACCCCCCCCCCCCCCACACGAAATGTTGGTTTATTTTCATATCCCTTTTCTACGTACTGCAACTAATAATAATGATCAGTGTAGTTGACTAAGCAAAATACACTCGTCAGAATCAAGCGTACATTTTCCTCCAAATGTCCTGACGGGAGGTGAGGGGCTTTTGGGGTCCTACCTCTTCAGCAATCTCAATTACCTTGACATTTCTTTTAAAAAAAGTTAACAACCTCTACTTTTTTACTCTACAGAGGTTTGGTCCATTACCATCACCGAATTTTAAATAAATAAAAATCTTTTGATTAAAAGGAAGAATTTAAATTTTTAAAAAGCTCTTGAAAAACGGATATGTGTCACATCGTTTCATTTTTCCATTTTTTTAAAACCTCCCTAACCATTAAAGAATACATATTAAAGGAATGTTAATGATATTTTTTAATGCATTTAAGGAATGTAATCTAAACTATAATCAATATTTCAAAAAAGTATAACCATTTTTAAAATTAATGATTTGATAAATACAAATTTGACCAAATTTTGAGGAAACCCGTTATTTGGGTTCCTTCATAAAATTTTTCTAAATCCTTATTTTATAATGACAATATTTATTAACTTGTTATTTAAATCATTTACGGTTTTTCCAAATTACTTTTAGTATAAACTAAATTAGTGTAAGAGCTTTCATTACTAATCTTTGAATTTGAATGAAGAAAGAATAATCTTAAAATAATTCCAAAAATTGACTTCTACATTTTTTACTTTTAATTTTGTATTATCATTGATCACCATAGTTTCAGTAGAAGTAAATATTTCCATTTACTGCAGATAACGCCGATTGAAGGATTCATAACTCTAATTGGATAATAAGATAGATAGAAAGATAGATGTCACCGCCATACTATTTCTATTGGTCCAGAATAGACACCAAACACATGACTGATTGGATCAGTAGTGTGATCGTAAAGTCACAGCGGAACTAGCTTTGTCTTATCAAGTATGAATTAGATAATTAATGTTTGTAATTTAGATTTTTTTAAATTTTGGTTTCGCTACAAAAGTGAATTGTGCTTTTCTACTGCAGGACAAATTAAAGGAGTTTTCAGATTTAAGGTTTTTTATGCCCTGGGTGGCCTCTTTATAATCTATGGTTAACATATCCTGAAACCCATATATTCCCAGATGAGCTGGGGTAAAATTTTCACTTCTTTCTTATGGGTTTAAACGTATAATATCACCCCAGCTGAGTACACCTTTTAATATTTGCGAATTTTTTGCTATGAAGTTCCCGCATTCTTTTGAATAGTCATCTTCCAGCATTAATATTTGGGATTTTCTTTAATATGTACTTTTTAAAAGTTTAAACTTTATATTTCTTAATATTTTCCAGGGCATAAATTATCTAAAACCCTACTGTTTGAAGGGGGCTTGTAAAGTATTTTCGCCAAAAACTTTATACAGGGTGTCCCAAAAAACATGGGAATTCAGTGACGAATTCGATATCGTCTTTTTAACTAATTCTTTGATTTAGTTTAGTGATACCTACTGAGAAAGCTGTAATCTGTTAGACTTTCGTCTGCTATGTTCACATTTTGTTTGTTTATGTTTTGACTGCATACGGTTGTACTTAGTAAAACAAGAAAATTGCAGTATACAAACAGAGTAAACTTGTCCGTCCTCACTGTTCATCTTGCGGAGACATTATAGACGCATCTTTACAGTCTTTTACTCTTTTCATAAAATAAACTCTAGCAGACATAACAATATTATGGCTCTTGAAATAGGTATTACTATGCTAATTCATAACAAAGACGATATCGAATTCGTCACTGAATTCCCATGTTTTTTGGGACACCCTGTACCTCGCCTTCCTTCAACCAGAAGGGCTATAAATAGTTATAACGTGATTGGTCAAAATATAAATTAGCTAAAATTTACGTGTTATACATATTCCAAAAGTAAAATTAGAAATTTTAAATTGTAGATTAAGATTAAATGTATAAATAGCTGATCACCAATGATTTCTTTATCGCCTTTTAGTTTGACCAACAGAGGGAAGACGTTGGGTTACTGAAAGTCCCCTGGGAAAATTAAGTAAGATAACCCCCGCACAAGGCACTTTTAAGACAAAATTAAGAAAAATTTTAAAAACATTTATATTTTGAATTATAATTACCTAATAAGTGCATTGGCAGCATTTCCCCAGAGTACTTTCCCTGTTCTTTTTTCTCCCTCCTTAAATATTTTTGATTAGTTATTTTGCCTGCAGCTAGACTGCAGGGTGAGTCAAAAAAAGTGTCTGGTGCCATGCAAAATTGTGCAACTCTCCTGTATTTTGTTTTTTCAATATTTTTTGAAAATTTGTAATTTTATTTGGTACTTCTATGGCCCAAAAAAAAATTCGCGAACCTTTTTTCTCTCAAAATCAAAAGTTCAGAAAAACAAACATGTTTAAATAAACTATTTCTATCGAAATCTAAAATTTTAAAAAGATTAAATCAAAGAATCTCAGAAAATTTCTAAAATTGTAATTAGAAAATTTGCAATTTTCAGTTCTGGTATAATTTTTACGGAAAAATTGTTTTTTAATGGTTCTTAAGGTTTCAAATGAACAGCGTATATTTAATACTTCAGAATATACTAAGAAGAAAGGAACTAAAGAATTCAAATAATTTTTCCTTAAAAATTAACCCAGACTGTAGCTATAGACTTTTTAAATATATATATTTATATAAACATAGGCTGAACTATACTGTAGCTATAGACTTTTTAAATATATATATTTATATAAACATAGGCTGAACTAGACTGTAGCTATAGACTGTTTAAATATATATATTAATATTTATATAAACATAGGCTGAACTAGACTGTAGCTATAGACTCTTTAAATAACATATATTTATATAAACATAGGTTGAACTAGACTGTAGTTATAGACCATTTAAATATATATATTTATGTAAACATAAGCTGAACTAGACTGTAGCTATAGACTGTTTAAATATATATATTTATGTAAACATAGGCTGAACTAGACTGTAGTTATAGACCATTTAAATATAAATATTTATGTAAACATAAGCTGAACTAGACTGTAGTTATATACCATTTAAATATATATATTTATATAAACATAGGCTGAACTAGACTGTAGTTATAGACTCTTTAAATATATATATTTATATAAACATAGACTGAACTAGACTGTAGCTATAGACTGTTTAAATATATATATTTATATATACATAGGCTGAACTAGACTGCACCTAGACTGTTTAAATAACATATATTTATATAAACATAGGCTGAACTAGACTGCACCTAGACTGTTTAGATATAAATATTTATATAAACATAGGCTGAACTAGACTGTAGCTATAGACTCTTTAAATATATATATTTATATAAACATAGGCTGAACTAGACTGTAGCTATACTCTTTAAATATATATATTTATATATACATAGGCTGAACTAGACTGCACCTAGACTGTTTAAATAACATATATTTATATAAACATAGGCTGAACTAGACTGCAGCTATAGACCGTTTAAATATATATATTTATATAAACATAGGCTGAATTAGAATGCAGCTATAGACCGTTTAAATATATATATTTATGTAAACATAAGCTGAACTAGACTGTAGCTATAGACTGTTTAAATATATATATTTATATAAACATAGGCTGAACTAGACTGCACCTAGACTGTTTAAATATATATTTAAATATATAGATACGGATTAGCGCATTTTTGAAGGGATTAAATATTTAAAAGTTCCAAGTTCTCTAAAATCAAAATGTTTACCTGATGAAAGGATGGTACCGGGAGAATAACCTCCTGCATGTCTGGGTCAGGCTTAAACAATTTATAATATTTAAGGACTGAAAAAGTATTTAATTTGATATTAACATTTAACAAGATTGAAATGTCTGATTTATAAATTTATCTAATCAAGCTTTATCTACTCAATTATATATTATATAAATCTACTTGTTTAAAATTTATTATTTAAACAACTAATTGTAGATTATTATTCAAGATCTGGTATAAGTTTCTATAGGATACCGTTGTGAATCGGACATATTCATCTTTCCCCTTAAAATCTGATTCAAATTGTATCTATTAAATCATAGTCATGAATCATGATTAAAGGTATTGCCTTCATCTTAATTAAGGCCCCAAAAAAAGTGTCAACTCAACTATTTTATCAAACATATTAAAATCTAGAATTTGAAAGAAAAAAATCGTTTCTTTTTCTATAAACAACAAGCATTGAACTGGCATATAACTATTAAGAGTAAAAATTAAAAAGTTAATAAAATAATAAGAAGAAATTGCATGAAATCTCTGAAGAAACGTAGAACTGAAATGGTTTGAATTCTGATGGCTTTATAGCTCACATATATGCAAGTTAGAAATTTTGGCTCAAGTATTGAGCTCCATTTATAACTCTATGAATTAATAATCAATTCCTCTTCGATATCCCGTAATGGTTATACCCTGCAGGGACAACTTTAATTTAGAAATCAAGCAATGATCCTCAAAAATAGAGCTTCCCAGTTCCCACATTGGATATCAAGATATAGTGTAATGATGGTACAATATATGTTGATCTTTTAGCGATCATCGGCTCAAGGGGTTTTAGGATCGTTGTGATCGTTTTTACAACGATCCTCTGCTGATGGAAATATAAACCTAGAGTGTATATATCAATGACAGTTGAAATAATGCTAAGTTTGCAGTTATTTTTAGACCAAGCGAAGCCGAGTTATAAATAGACCAAGCGATGCCATCCCTTATCTCAGGGTAGCGTAGTGCAAGGGGTATTGATCCGCCGAGCCAGGGAGCTAGGGATGGAACCCTAGCGGGGGATGGCGGGTCAAACAAATGCTTACAGATGAGGCAGTTCGTTGTGAACCCTTTCGATGAGCGGAGGCAAATTGGTTCTATAGTTTCTCAACCGTATTCTACCTCATTTTCGCTACTCGATCGTATAGTATATTTTGATTTTGTTGTATAAAGTAATAATAAATTGTAAATCATCTCTCGGAAAAGTATTAGTGATGAGAAGTTGATTTACGTAAAATTTGGCATATTTAACAATAACGTTCAAGATTAACAATATCCACACAATAGTTCCGATCTATAAATAATTAGGTAAATAGATAAAATAAAATAAATATGAGACCTCTGAAACGTAGAACTGGAAAGGTTCAGAGTGTGGAGATGAAGATGTGCTTAAGCTTCTATTCTTGTTGTTCATGCTGTTGTTGCTGAAGCTGTTATTGTTGTTGATGTTGTAGTTGCTGAAGCTGTTGTTGTTGTTACTTATGTTGTTTGCGCTGTAAACACGTAAACTATGTTTGTTTCGGAAATATCTGACGTAAACTTCATTACTTCGATTATTTTTGATATTTTGTTTTACAATATAAAACTATTCTTTCACATTTTAAATCATCAATATGAAGATAAAAAAGATCTACCTTTGAAAATTGAAAGATGGAAAACTGACCGCTAACTCGTTCAAGGATAATGTTGATACTTTCCTGGACTGAAATATGTATCAAGTTTAGGAAAATATTTAATTAAATATTTAAACAAACATAAACTAAACTGATAAGGAACCGAGTTCTTGCAACAAACTCTGATCCTCTAATCCTTTTATCTGGTAAAACCTTGGATTTCAAACTATTAATTCTTTTAGATCAAAAAATTTATATAAAATATATCCCGGTTTACAAATTTAGGTTGCAAAGATATTGGGATTAGAACATTTGAGTTTGCGGCCAAAAATCAGTATCAAAGTACATCAAAGTATTTCCATTGATATAAAAACAACAGCTAGAACAACAAAAATCTAAAGTTATAAAATACAGGGATATGGAAAATTTGAATTTGTGACAAAAACTCAATTCTTTTCCAAATAAACGACGACATCTCTCATTATTACTAAAGAAAGGTTTAAGGCACCATTGTGAATCATACATGACACTCTTTTAAAAAAGGGCCACTCTATCCATTTACAGTCTCTGTAAGGCATGATATCGATACAATGGAATTTAATTTAGTTAGAATTATCAGTTTACTTTAGACCTGAGCAGATGGAGCTGAGTTCCTTCTATTTTCAGAACCTAATCTTTTCTCTGAAATTAGTAATTATATATTAATAATAATAAAGACAGAACAGAACGCTTGATACAGGGTGTCCCACGAAACATAACAGTTGGTAAATAATTTGGAATGTCTTCTTCTCTACACTGCAGTAAAACATATTAAAGACTTTTTGTATTTTTTTTAAATTATTCACCAAATGTTTCGTGGGACACCCTGTTACTCCTTTGGGCTTCTGCCTTAGAGTTATTGTGAACGAAAATCTCCTAAATCTTGAAAAAACGACATCTAGTGTTCTTTCTGTATTTTTATTAATTTCTATCTTAGTAATAGTTGAGAATATTCAGATTCCTAAGGGTTTAAAGGACTGATTCATCTTGGATAATGTAAACAACAATAATGGGATTAAAGTAAACAAATAAACCTTGTTCTGCTTAGGAGTTTCTCTTGGTTAATTTAAACAACATTAGTGGGATTAAAGTAAACAAATAAACCTTGTTCAGCTTGGGAATTCCTCGATTGTTAAATGTAAACAACATTATTGGGATTAAAGTAAACAAATAAACCTTGTTCTACTTAGGAGTTTCTCTTGGATAATTTAAACAACATTAGTGGGATTAAAGTAAACAAATAAACCTTGTTAAGCTTAGGATTTTCTCTTGGATAATTTAAACAACATTATTGGGATTAAAATAAACAAATACACCTTTTTCAGCTTGGGAATTTCTTGATTATTGAATGTAAACAACATTATTGGGATTAAAATAAACAAATAAACCTTGTTAAGCTTGGGAATTCCTTGATTGTTAAATGTAAAAAACATTATTGGGATTAAAATACACGAATAAACCTTGTTCAGCTTGGGAATTTCTTATAAACCTTGTTCAGCTTGGGAATTCCTCGATTGTTACAAATAAACCTTGTTAAGCTTGGGAATTCCTTGATTGTTAAATGTAAAAAACATTATTGGGATTAAAATACACGAATAAACCTTGTTCAGCTTGGGAATTTCTTATAAACCTTGTTCAGCTTGGGAATTCCTCGATTGTTAAATGTAAACAACATTATTGGGATTAAAATACACGAATAAGCCTTGTCCAGCTTGGGAATTCCTTATAAACCTTGTTCAGCTTGGGAATTCCTTATAAACCTTGTTCAGGTTGGGAATTCCTGGATTGTTAAATGTAAACAACATTATTGGGATTAAAATACACGAATAAACCTTGTTTAGCTTGGGAATTCCTTGATTGTTAAATGTAAACAACATTATTGTCAGCTTGGGAATTCCTCCTGGTAAAAATAAAGACAAGTATAAATATAAAACCTTGCTCAGCCTGGGAGTTTCTTCTGGTATACGAAGGTGTTGTCAGAGCGCTTCTGCCAAGCTCCTTAAATCCTTCCTAAAAATGGAAAAGATATTTATTTTTAGGATAAATGCTATTTTTGAATCAATGACTCCGTTCTTTTTTTATCTAAAAATAAACAAAATTTATTCATTATCTGAGAGAAGATCTTGTTTTTACGTAATTTAAAAATATTTTCTATAAATTTGAAATTTATATTTCTTCAAGTTTAAGGATTACAGTTAGTGATGTAGTAGTCTTACATGCAGTGCTGTGTTCGGCGTTTATCTCGATACAAAGAAGACGACTTTTATAATTATGTTTTGATCGTTAGCAAGCTTCTTTTCAAATTTCAAGTTTACAAGTAAACAAAGAAAAGGTGTTAATTGAAATATTTCCATGCTGTTTAAAAGCTTCGTAAAAATCATAATTGAAATCGAAAGTCGTCTTCATTGTATTGAAATAAACGATAACTAAAGTATAATTCTTTATGATATAATTTGTTGATTATTACTTAAGAAAAGAAAATGATGGATTCGATTAAAATAAAAGTTTAAAAATACAAATAAAAGTCTTTTTCTGATTTAAGAAACAATATTTAATCCAAATAGGTTGTCAATTGTACAATAGATGGCAACACAGAATGCGTACACTTTCAGTACAACTGTTTAAACGTCATAAGTGTCAACTCAAATTTTCTGTCTGACAAAACTATAAATAAAAGTGATATTTTTAGACTAAAATGCTTATCTTTTAGTGAAATTAGTGCAATTTTATATGTTCTTTATTTCTGTTTTTACACTTTTTCATTTAACGTTCTATAGACTAAATAACAGGGTTGAAACTGATTTTGTACATAACCCTTTAACATTGTAATTCGAAAGTATAACATTAAAACATATTTCAGAAATGTTTAATGATATCTTTGGAGAAGTGCTCTGGAAAGGTCTAACCGAGGATAAACCCCCAGATCCAGGGGAAATACAGGCAAAAAGAAACGGTAATTTTCTATTGAAATGTCGTCTTCTAAGGATATTTGAATTTTTTTCTTAAATGTCGTATTTCACTATTTTTGGGAACATGTAAGAAAATATATAAAAATTTTTAAAATCGCTTTATTTATGAAATTATTGGAAAGTCTATGTAGATATTATAAACAGGGTGTCCCAAACAAAAATTTAGAGTAGGGGTATTGGGTACTGCAGAGGCAACAATTTTTATTAAATGTTCACAATCATGTTAACAGTAGAAATCTTGATATTTCAGTTATTTCCAGGCATTCTTTTTATGTTACAATCACTTCTTTAATTATGGAGCATGAGCCGAAAAATCGATTTCCCAGATTTTTCAAATTTTGATTTTTTACATATATTCATTTTTTCATAAATAACCAAAAAATTCACAAATTTAGACAATTTTGCTTTTATTTAACAAAATTGAAATCTGAACCAAACTCTTTATATCTCCAGTAATATTGAAAGCACAATAACGCAGACCACTTTTTGGAAATGCCAGGGCTAGGAGAATTATGTGATAGTTGTTTCAAGAATCATACATGTTAAAGTAGATAGAAGGCTAAATGTCACAAATAAATTCAAATACCAAAGACGACTTTCAAGTCGTCTTGCTATTGTCATGTTTTGTGGGACACCCTGTATAAACGTAGATAGCTTATGCACGCAAAATCACCAAGAATACTTCTAGAGGTCAAAGTGTACTTCAATGATAAGCGGGGTGGTTTGGTGTTTTAATGGATTTCATAATAGAGTGTAAAATAACTCCGGGAATGGAACTATTTGAACAACAATATTTCACTGAGCAATATATCATATTGACGAGAACTGAAGAAGGACATGAGACAGACTAAACTAACTTAAATTTATCTCTACAGAACTCATGTACACCACAAGTACTCAATGACATAGAACAGCCAATGTTCACAACCAACCTAGTTAATCTATATAATAGGAATATCTTTAAAACATCTCTGTACATTTATATCTTTCAAGATGAAAAATGTCGTCTTCTGCGCAATCTATCTTTATCTATGAATCTAACCTACAGTTTACACTTACCAGTAAAATTTCCTTTCCTGTGATTCTTGACATAGTTACATGTTCCCTAAATAGAATAATTCAAAATTTTGCATAATATTCTACGAAAAAGAGATAGAATATATTTTGGCTCTTTGGATGAAATGTGGGAACATTTGGCATTTTTTGATAACAAAGTTAAGATCCTTTAAGCACAAAAAGTTAAACAAAATGGAGATTTTTTCATAAAATAAATTTAATTCAGCTTAAACGGTTCTGCTTTATAAGATTAAGTGCACAGTGCACACAATATTTATTTTTTCAAATTATATTGAAATAAGTATAAAAAACAGTCTTAAAAAAATTGATTACAAAAAATTATGGACAAAAAAACTAACTTTTAAATGGAAATTTGTCATAGTACCAAAAAACTAGATCTTTGCCTTAAATCAAACAGTTCTCCTTGTAATGATAAACTAATTCAATTTTTGATTTTTGAAGATTTCTTTTCTGATGATATGTCCAGCAGATTTTTATGCTTTTTCTTGTTAAATTCTCAATTATTGTTGGCAAAAGCAAACTTAAACGCTATCATTTAAACTTAAACGATATAATTTAAATTTAAATGCTATCATTTAAACTTAAATGCTATCATTTAAACTTAAACGTTACCATTCAAACTTAAACGCTATCATTTAAACTTAAACGCTATTATTTAAACTTACTTTTTTCACTAAGATATGTTAACTAGAGCAACCTCCAGAAGTTAGGCCAAAGTAAACCTTACTACCTTCGACAATATTAACTAGCGTAAACTCCAGTAATGAGGCAAAGATAATTACTTCCTTCGCCAAATTATGTTAACTAGAGCAAACTCCAGAAGTGAGGCAAAGATAATGCTTACTTCCTTCGCCTAATAATGTTCACTAAAGCAAACTCCAGAAGTGAGGCTAAGATACAACTTACTTCCTGCGCCAAATAATGTTAACTAGAGCAAACTCCAGAAGTGAGGCAAAAATAATGCCTACTTTCTTCGCCGAATAATGTTCACTAGAGCAAACTCCAGAAGTGAGGCTAAGATAAAACTTACTTCCTTTGCCAAATAATGTTAACTAGAGCAAAGTCCGGTAATGAGGCAAAGATAATTACTTCCTTCGACAAAATTATGTTAACTAGAGTAAACTCCAGAAGTGAGGCAAATACAATACTTACTTCCTTCGCCAAATTATGTTAACAAGAGCAAACTCCAGAAGTGAGGCAAAGATAAAGACAGTGCATGAGAGAAACCAGATATCAAGAAACTTGATGTAAGAAACCTAAATGGAAAAATGTGTTATCTATTATTAAAAATAAAAATAATGGTTAACATGGATAGGCCTATCAGAAACAATAATGGCATTATTTGTTTAGTGAATAAAACGAATGCCTAAAATAGTTCTGAGCCATAGTACTTACCCTCGGCAATTGATCGCTCCCTGTCGTCTTCGTCATCGTGATAAAAGAAAGCCATGTGGCAGTCCCAAGCGTTACTCTTCCAGGAACTGTACACAGTCAATAAACTGCTCATTGTTCAATTAAGTAATGGCGTCTTACGTGAAACTTTTTGAAATGCTGGGTTATCATTTGATTATTTATCTTGACACATAAGCTATAATGAACTTGTCGATCCAATTTTTAAGCAGATATAGTTCTATTTGTAAGAGCTTTGAATTGTAAGAGCGCGGTCAGTTATCTGAAGGGTTTCCATTTGCAAAATTGCGCATAACTTGATATGTTGATGATTAACTTATCCGAACAAGTTCAAAGTGTATCTTGTCATATGCCACAACAAAAAATTGTATTGCAGTAGGACAACAAATTACTTTTCTGTGATTTGGTTGTAATAGATATGAGAAGAATAATACAAATTTAGTGCACTATTCTGCAAAAGCTTACCGCGTGTATAGTATCTAGTTTTGCATTTTATCAACGGCTATTCTTTTTTAAATTCATGTACAGTGAAATCCTTAACAGCGAATACATCGAAAGAATTCATCAAATGTCGAATTCTTCACTTTCTGATAATGGAATGTTGCAGATATTTAGTTTTTAATTAAATGATTATATGGAACTCTTTAAAACTGTTTCCGCATATTCATGGCTATTTATTTATTTTCGCAAATACTGAAATATACGTAATATGGTATAAAACTCATTGAAAAATTGTCAAGACGACATTTGATAAATTCTTCCGATGTATTCGTTATTAAAGGTTTCACTGTATAATTTTTTTTTATTATTTAAATCAATTTTCAACCAAAGGAATTGAGTCTTTGCTATACAAACTCTGATTTTCAAATCCCAATATCTTTGTGACCCAATGTCGTATATCTATATTTCAAACTATGATTGAATTCTCAAAGATAAAATTATCAAAGTTTGAAATACCAAAGGCTTACCCCATTATTTTGCAAATTTATAGAGATTAGAAGATTTAAGTTTGTGGCAAAAACTCAATTCCTTTGGCCAAACTTTCCAAAAATAGAATAAAGCGGTTTTACGCATGGAACCCCTAGTCAGCTGTTTATTTCAAATGGAATCACTTGAATGCTGAAGAGCAAATGCTGTAATTCAATAACTATCTGTTTTGAGCTGACTATACCATGTAAAAAAAAAACTTCAAACCTGCATTCGGGTCTAACCAGAAAGAAATCCAGGATAAAGTTACCTAGTAAAAATATAAGTTAATATCATGCAGTTGAAAGAAAATACATGTTTAGAAGTACAACTTATATTTTCAAGTTTGACGATATTTTGGGCTTGCGACGTTCACACTTATTTAACTATCTCAATTTCATTAACGGCGTTTACAGAAGATATTTTAGAAATCATTGACGGTGCAAACCTTTAATGATTTTGTAATGATTATTTCATGTAAAAATAGCTTGACAAATTTAGTGAGAATATTCAAAAACATCTAAATACATGAAATTGTATTGCTATTATTTTGCTGTTTAGCAAATATTTCAAAAATCAGTCATGAAAAAAAGACAAAAAGAAAAAAATTGATAAAATATTTTACCAGTAGTGCAGAGGGTACATAGTAGTCAATAATATAGTGTCCAATCTGACGGGTTAAATGGAACTCTATCTCAAGTGCAGAGTAGTTTCCACCTCAATTAATTTAAATAGTAATTAAAGGGCCGGTGGCCGAATTTAAAGAATTTGAGCGGCGGTTTAAATTTAAGCCGCGGTTTAAATATGGTTGGTTCCACTTAAAATTGTATCAAATGTTTCAAAATTTAAGCCGGCGCTGAATTTAAACCGGGGTTTGGCGGATTTAAACCGCGGCTCAAATTCTTTAAATTCCATCTCGGGTGTTAAAAAAACCCAAACACTTCACTTTTTTCCTCTGACAGGCTCAATCATTATCAAATCATAATGAAATTGATATGACAGTGTCTCTTAGATGTTAGGACTCCAAGGTTTAAAAAGTATCGGATTGGGTCAACCCTGCTCACAATAAATGCTCTTTATCTCTTAATGATTTAACTAATCTGCCTACCCAGTTGGGATTGTCCATTCTCACCACACTGCTTCAGTTTACATTCAGTTAATATTTCTTCCTTGGCAACCTTCTTTTTTACCATGGCCGACATATTCAATAATAGGCCGGACATTTTAAAACTTCATGGACATTGCCAGATGTAAACTGAACTTTGATTGAATCTATTGCTGACAGTATAAATGTTGGTTGCGGTAGCAAGCTGAGCCATCGTGGACCCGGTGTGAGTTGATTTACACAAGTGAAAGCTTTAGGATAGTAAAGTACATTCCTTCTTGCAATAAAATATGGTTCCATCAGCTTATATTAATGGTCCCCGGCAGTGTTTATCTCTGTTGAAGAAAAAGGGAAAGAAACTGCAGCTCTGCATTAGGCCAGGGTGTAAATATGGTGGGTTACAGTATACTCCAAATTGGTGTTAGGTCATATCATCTCCACCCTGAACTTGTATCTTTGTAACTAACGGGCTTTTTAGAATTTAAGGCTTATAATTAATACATTTAGATAGATTTTTGTCTATTTTAAGCAAGTTCTGGTCTTCTGGACCTCCTTCAGCATTGGTAATGTTTTTTTTTGTATGGTACGCTGATCAGTTTCATCCCCCAAGAGATAAAGAGCATTTATTCAGTGCAGAGTTGACAAAATCCAATGAATTTCTAATCATGTACTCCTGAGATACTAAAAGACATTATGACATTGATTTCATTATGATCGGGTAATAATTAAGCCTGTGAGAGAAAAAGTATGAAATGTTTGGTTATTTTTTTAACACCCTTTAGCTACACTCATGTTAGAAAAAAGCATAATTTTTGTTTTTGAAAATATTTTAAAATCAATGAAATTTTTCGTTGTTTACAAAAATTAAAGAACACTGAATGAACAAATTTTATCGTTCAGTGAATAAAAAAGGATATTTTTTCAAAACAAACTGAAAAAAAGCAAATTATTTAGAACTGTTAATGATTCTGCGCATGTTATTAAACGATCGAAGAAAAAACAAATCACTATACGATCAAATTGGAAAAAGCCAAAAGCGCACATCTAGACACCCTTCTAATATGCCTTCAGAGACAATTAGAAAAAAAAAACAGTTTAGATATGATTTTTAAAAACTATAATTTAAAATTATGGCAAGATTACTTGGTTTTCGTCCTTGCAGTTGATGATGTGTTTTCCGTATAATTTTTCTCCCTTCATTATCTGAAGAAAAAGGAAAAATTGTCAAAAAATTTCAACATTTTTTTTAAATCTTGTTTTTCAAAATAAATATGGTCTGAATATTTAGCTCCAAAATACGTATGGTCTGAATATTTAGCTCCAAAATAGGTATGGTCTGAATATTTAGCTCAAATATTTAGCTCCAAAATAGGTATGGTCTGAATATTTAATATTTAGCTCGAAGATATGTATGGTCTGAATATTAAGCTCCAAAATATGTATGGTCTGAATATTTTGCTCCAAAATATGCATGGTCTGAATATTTAGCTCAAAATAGGTATGGTCTGAATATTTAGCCCCAAAATATGCATGGTCTGAATATTTAGCTCCAAAATATGTATGGTCTGAATATTTGGCTCCAAAATATGCATGGTCTGAATATTTAGCTCCAAAATAGGTATGGTCTGAATATTTAACCCCAAAATAGGTATGGTCTGAATATTTAGCTCCAAGATATACATGGTCTGAATATTTAGCCCCAAAATATGTATGGTCTGAATATTTAGCCCCAAAATATATTTGGTCTGAATATTTAGCTCCAAAATAGGTATGTGTGAATATTAAGCTCCAAAATTTTACCTAGCATTTCCAGTCGGGGAGTAATGCCTTGCTCAATGTAAACACTAACCTTAAAATTACCTTTTTTTTAATTGACAAATATACTGGTTTGCCTGTTTGTTGGTTTCCTTTCTTGGGTTGTTTTTATATAATGAACCTCAAAACGGATGAACTCATTTGGGTCAAAATTTTTGTGGAAACTCACAACCAAATGAAAACAGATGCAATTATTGGCAAAACGTTATAAAAAAAATAGAAAATATCCCAAAGGCTTATATGTAATCTTAATTTAAAATGTGTTTACCGTTTCTTTTGTATTCATAGCACTGATATAGTATTCTGGTTGGGTAAAATTATTCCTAAACAAATTTTTAATATTAAGATTTTTCTTCTTTTATAGTTTACGATGTAAATTCTCATTTTTAATTAATGAACCTTTAGCCATCAGACTTTTTTAGATTTGTGACAACACAAACCGATGATTTTTCAAAAAACTTTATCATCTGTATTTGTAAGATTAGAATAAAAATCCCGAAAAATTCAAAATTTCTTTTAACTTTCTGTTTGTTTATTCAAATCTTATTTAGTTCCCTTGTCACAATAGATACTTATTTTTCTGTGTTTAAGAGCATTCTGAATCAATATTAAAAAAAAATCAAAAATTGATCGGAATTCGGAAATATTTCCAGTTTTCTTAACAAAATGTTATTACCTAGCAAGAGGAAAAACAGATTCCCATCTTAGAACAACCTCATTTATGGGATGAGTCCCTTTAAAAAAAAATTAAAATTAAAATTATTTATGTCTGAAAATGTTAAAGGTTTAAGAGATTTGAACACTTACAGCTTTCAAGGAGAATTGAACAGACTTGGGTGTCATGAGGGAATCTAAACATAAAAATAAATTTTTTTTATTCTCTTTTCAAAAAGTGATAATCAAGAAAATCTTTCTGAACGAATGTGTAAAGCGTCGTAGAAATATTGATTACTCGCCACCAACTTTCATTTTACTAATCCCATTTTTCAACAGGCCATAGTTTAAACGTGAAATATTTTCAACCTTGACTGTTTCCTTTCAGAAAATTCAAGGTCTCTATGTGCAGAATCAGATTTTTGGGGAGTAGTAATTTTCCCTTTTTCTATTGCTTCAAATTATTTAATTATTATAATGATGATGATATCACAAAGCACTACAGTTCTAATTCGGTAATGATAGTTCACTATTCCATTGCTCTGAACAAAAATTATAATTTAGTTGAAAGCAGAAAAATGTGTGATTAACATCAACTTTGTTCTTTGTACTAAAAAAGTGTCACTAGAATTTTTTATTTTTGCAATTGATAAACTTTAATAAAATTTTTAAGACACTTTTTCAGTAAGTTTCCTAAGATTGTTTTTAAATCCACATTTTAAAATAATATTTTATATACGAGAAATATTCTGTCTTCTGGTTAACACTTTAGGATAATATAATGAATAATAATAAATGATGCTAAATACATTTAAACTAAAAGATTTAAAAATGTCGCAATAGATTTTAAACTCTTATTATAAATCTATTCTTTCACCTGAATTCTGATGTAAACGGAGTCTCGTGTCATGGTCATAAGATCACTATTAACTTCATTTTCTAAATAAAATATTTTGGATAATTTTGCAGTCTTTGGAATAAGACATTTTAAACTACCTACTTGAAACTTTCTCTTCAAATAAAATCAAATATCAAATATTCGTCTCAAAAAGGGTATATATGGTAAACTTACATGTTAAGAACGTATTTATGTTGCATTTTTGCAAAGGATTTGATGTGAGTCTTTGCCAAAAACTGTTATTTTTAAATCCCTTTTCTTTGCATGGCAATATCGTAGTCCTCAGATATTTCGAACTTTGAGTCAATTAATCTAAGTTTAAAATATTTAAGGTTTTAACCATTATATTACAAAGTTATTGGGAATAGAAAATTTATGTTTGTAGCAAAGACTCAATTCCTTTATCTTAGTTTTCTTCTTTTTTGCAAATATATTGATATATTTTGATAAATAAATTGCTTAATATGGAACACTTTAAGATTAGGGTTATTATTGAAGACGACGGTTCAGGGAGAGTAAAGTGGGATATTTTGAATTTCACTTGTCTGCATTACTGAGCTATTCACTGTGCATAAGTAAAAACAATTGTTGCTCAAAATCGCGCGGATCAGAATTACGATTGTGAACCCTGCAAGAAATGTGGAGAGTTATCTAAATTAATTAAAACTTACCAATAAAAATATTCGGAGTCCAAATATGGTCTGCAAACCATGTTTCTCCCTCCATATACTGAAAAATTTAACTGCTTTAACCACTTTTTGGTTGTAAATCAAAACGCCAATTAATTGCACTGATTTCATATAGAGACCCTTAGAGGTTGAAACTTTTGGTTGAGATTGCCAAAAAATGGAAACTTTTGAAATGGTGAATTTTCAGATTATTGTGATGTTAATTTCAATCTCTTTAAGAGCGTTTAAAGCATCTGATCGAACAAATTTCAAAAATCCAGAAACTATTTAATCCTATAAAAACATGTACCTCGATATTTGTTGAAACATTTGCAAAGCTTAGTTTTTTATCCTAAATAAAAAAATATTATTTTTTAAATTTTGATAATAATAGAATTCAAATGTTTGCCCACCTGCCATTTTTGTCTAATTAACAGATGTGCTTCAAACTCAAGCTGTTGGGCCTGAAAAGATAAAATGATAATAACAATGTTGGTTGTGCCTGAAAAGATAATATGATAATAACAATGTTGGTTGTGCCTGAAAAGATAATATGATAATAACAATGTTGGGTACGCTTTGACTGGGGTGCACTTTATAAAATTTGCAACCCCCTTCCCCTGGGCTTCTCCCCTTTCTTTAGCTATAGCTTTTTCCTTGATTTAATTGTTTATACATATGTCTTTAGTTTTGCGGTTTTGACCCTTTTCAAGTTTTAAAGAGACTGTTGCTGTAATTGATTGACTAGAGCTCGATTTTAATGAATTTAAGTTTTAATTGAGCGTCGGGTTGAAAAATTCAATACAATTCAAAGTGAAACCATCCATATTTAAGCCGTGGCTTGAATTTAAGCCGCGGCACAAATTCTTTAAATTTGGACTCAGTTAGATTCACAAGGTTTAGCTGTACTGCTGTGAATTGGACATGGCCCATCTTAAATTGAGGGTCATTTTGAATTACAATGATATGGTTTTAGGGCAAAACAATTATTAAAGGAATTGTAATGCTCCCTGAGTTTTAATTTTTTAATTTTTTAATTGATTAAATAATTCGTTTACGGAATATTAAAATAAAAAAATAAAACTAATTGATTACCCGAATATTGCCGAGGAAATAAACAAAGACACTGTTTTTAACTTCTAGAACATCATAGTTTAGTGGTCGGGTTCTGGAATCATACCTGAAAAATAATTGACATAAAACCGGTTATTCAAAATATTTTCCCGGATTTTAGTGAAGACGATATTTAATTCGCCTTTTAGTAAAATTGAAAGTGTTTGGTATTTTTAAATCAAGTTACCCCCAAAGAAAGTACTTTTATCCTTCATTTTTCCCAATTTTATTTGGCTAAAATGTTTGATTTCATATTTGAAGTATATTCCACTTTTTTTAAAGTTGAGATTAGTACTTGTTGGAAGTATAGGGTGTCCCGTGCAGAAACATGATTGATGGTAAATAGTTTTGAATGTTTTCTTTCGTGTACTGTATTAGATATTAAAAACTTGTTTCAGCTTATTTTGCTACATAAATATTTTACTCAAACATGTTTTACTTTGAAATCAATTTTACTATGATATGATTGCATATATTATTCTCTTTGTTTACAAACAACTTGACAAATTATGGAAGAAAGACATTTAAAACTATTTACCATCTGTCATGTTTCGTGGGACACCCTGTATTTTTGTTTAACAATTTTGTTATTCATTTTAAAAATAAACCTCATTAGTTTTTTGCTTAAAATTTCCTCAATTTTTGTTTACAATTTTTACAGTTTTTAACTTCAATCTTTGAATATTTTATGTTGTTTTTCTAAGCTTGTTGAAACTATTTTTGTTAAAAATTTGTTAGCTTTTTATTAAAAAGTCAAGATTTTTTTCAGAAAAATATGTTTAAAATTAAACCTTGATGAGTTGGTCAAATAATCAAATAGTTCTGCTTCTCGTCCATAGGGAAACACAAAAGAATCCTCTGCACTGAAAAATGAAATATGAACAACAATTATTAAAAACAAAAAACATTCCATAAAAAAAGCTTTTTCAATCATTTATCAAAATTTAAAAGACTCAACAACCATAAAAATTAAAATGGATAAATGACTAACCTTAAAAAGTACAGGAATATGTAAAGGACTAACCTTGAATAATGAAGGACTCAGACTTAGTAAAGGACTATTTTTTATAATCTTTTTTATAATAACGAAGGACATGGACCATGTATAGGACTAACCTTGAATAATGAAGGACTCAGACTTAGTAAAGGACTATTTTTTATAATCTTTTTTATAATAATGAAGGACATGGACCATGTATAGGAATAACCTTGAATAATGAAGGACTCAGACTTAGTAAAGGACTATTTTTTATAATCTTTTTTATAATAATGAAGGACATGGACCATGTATAGGAATAACCTTGAATAATGAAGGACTAGGACCATGTATAGGACTAACCTTGAATAATGAAGGACTAGGACCATGTATAGGATTAATATTGAATAATGTAGTACTAGGACCATGTATAGGACTAACCTTGAATAATGTAGTACTAGGACCATGTATAAGACTCACCTTGAATAATGTAGGAATAGGACCATGTATAGGACTAACCTTGAATAATGTAGGACTAGGACCATGTATAGGACTAACCTTGAATAATGTAGGACTAGGACCATGTATAGGACTTACCTTTAATAATGTAGGACTAGGACTAACCTTGAATAATGTAGGACTAGGACCATGTATAGGACTAATATTGAATAATGTAGGACTAGGACCATGTATAGGACTAGCCTTGAATAATGTAGGACTAGGACCATGTATAGGACTAACCTTGAATAATGTAAGCCTAGCACCATGTATAGGACTAATATTGAATAATGTAGGACTAGGACCATGTATAGGACTTACCTTGATAATGTAGGACTAGGACCATGTATAGAACTAACCTTGAATAATGTAGTACTAGGACCATGTATAGGACTAACTTTGAATAATGTAGGACTAGGACCATGTATAGAACTAACCTTGAATAATGTAGGACTAGAATGATTCCAAGTGTTAAGAACATGACACCAGGTCCATTGGATAAAATCATCCCTATAGGCCTGACAACATTAAACTAAAGTTTATTTCAGTTTGGTTTGAAATCATCCCTAGGCCTGACAACATTAAACTAAAGTTTATTTCAGTTTTGTTTGAAATCATCCTATAAAATAAACAAAAGTTTCAGATCTATTAAATTGGTAATCTTTGATGAAGTTGCGAGGTCTCAAAGTCGTGCCAGTTATTCCGCATAAAATGATAATACATCATAATCAGGACAGCTGAGAAAGAGGGGTTGCAAGATAAGTTGGTGCAGGGGGCAAAATCAGGTTCAACCCAGATAACAATAAGTCTAAGACGACATATAAACACTTCGGATCTCAAAATAAAATGTAAATCGAATGGTTCTAAAAAGGTTAGAAGCTCTTTGGAAAATATCTTGATTTAAACCCTACCCCTGTTAATTATATAGACAGAGATTTTCGACCCCCACACTTTCTTATAGCTTTGGCCCTAAAGTGGAGAGAGGAGATATAGGATTGGGCTGCATCATGCATGTCAGTAGTCCAACTTTACAAGGTCTATTTTGAAAAATTCAAACCGATTATTTGAATAATTCAAAATGTATAATAAATTTTATTTTATTTAATAAATATTAATTTGTGACACAGATTTTTACATTTATTTTTCGAGGATTTTTAAAATATGTAAATTTTTTAAATATAATATTTCTGGATGGACCATAAGAATCGGCAGAAATTTTCAAAATTGGAAATATCGGTTTATTTCCACACTCTTTTTAAAATTCCACGGGCAATGCTACTCAGGTGTGAGCTGTCATTGAAACTATTTTAAGACTCGAACTTCGGGATCTTTAAGTTGTCACTAATTTTCCATAGAATTGGGTTTATTAAACTGGTTTGATATTGTATTTGGCGGATTTTTATGTTTAGAACTGGCGGATTCCGGTATTTGATCAGATTAAAACTAGTTCTCCGAAAATCAAAAAAACCAAGGTCGGTTTTATTTTTATTTGGCCTATAAACTCCTTAAGTCAAGTCTAAGAGCTGCAGGCAGCTTACGTTCAAGTGACACAAGCTGTCGTCAGCTGATTCATGAGTTGTGTCGAAGATTGAACCTGAGTATTAGAATTAAGACTCGATCCGAAGCTTTTAAATTGCGGGTTCAGTTGACGACGATGTTTAAAGGAACTGGACTTTGGTGTCTTTGTTACAACGATACATACACTGTAAACCTTTGCGCCATAAAGAATAATTGAGTTATCCATGTTTATATCTTTAAAAAATTTTTTTTTTTATTATTATTTTGATTTATTTTTACAACTGACGTGTCACGTGGGCTGGAAAAACGACGATATTTTCCTCACTGTTTTAAAAAAAAGATTGAAGAAGAATTAGAAGAATGTTTTCCCTTATTTTGAAACCAAATAAGCATATGCAATACCATGCATGGTCGGTATGTTTTCTGGGGCACACTGTAGCTTTTTTTTGGATTTGAAAAATGTCCATTATATGGATTTCCTATAAAGTGTTTCAAGATTTGTATGCAATGGAAAATATTAAAAAAAAACCACCAAATACATTTTTCCAGCCATCTCTTTCTCTTTAAGGTTTGAGAAGAATTGTTGTGAATCGCGTGGACTCAATTCACTAAAACATTAAATAAATAGTATTTATCTAGCGTGGTCCCGTGGACCAAAGTGCACGAGAGAAGCATTAAACCTGTCATGTAACAGGAAACGTTTGATGTTTGACTTTAAAACTGTTCAATTTTTACTCACTGGGACTCAGTCAAGCTCTTGCTGAGAACTGAAAAATTCCGTCTTGAGTATTGGATAATCTCGGCCATAAAAAGATTAGGCTGAAAAAGGATCCAGAAAACGATTAAATGTACAATTTGTTATTTGACTTTTTCTCAATTTCTCGGGAAATGACGCAGGTCCGCTAAATAAATAGGGCCCAATAATATTTCCTTGGAAAACTCCATTTTCTCTTCTTTTCTGTTCGTGAGTACCTTTAAACCTCAAACTTATTGTCAAAATTCAAATTTTTTTTCAAAAGTATATTTTTTATCAAATTCGTTTATATTTTTAAACAAAATTCAAATGCCTTTAAAAAAAATGAGATCATAACATTTTCTGTCAAACCTGAATATATATAATTGATTTACAATGTGTAAATATCTCACCTGTATTTTTTAAATAATAAACAATAAAGTGTAATTAGGGGCAATATTAATATCTTAAAACTAGATTTACCCAGTTATTACCCGGGTCCTAACCTACCATATTTTACAATGAATTTGCAGTTTTTTGTCTGTTAACAATCCAATATAATTTCATAAAGCATTCATATTAATTAAGATATATTTCTACAGAACAAGATAAAAATTGTGATAAAAATCCCCCCCCCCCCCAAAAGAAAAAAATAGGTATCAAAATATTATAATTACAATCTACATCATTTCAAGACGAAGATTCATCTCAAAATTTGAACTGAATTATTTTTTGTGTGTTGAATATCTTGTTAATTAATATTAAATAATTTTTCAAAGCAAAGCAGTACCCTTTCAGCCTTTCAACCTTTCAACCTTTCAACCTTTCAACCTTTCAACCATTCAACCTTTCAACCTTTCAACCTTTCAACCTTTCAACCTTTCAACCTTTCAACCTTTTCAACCTTTCAACCTTTCAACCTTTCAACCTTTCAACCATTCAACCTTTCAACCTTTCAACCTTTCAACCTTTCAACCTTTCAACCATTCAACCTTTCAACCTTCCAACCGTTATATGATCAATAATGTAGAAAAAGATGTAGTTTGTAAAGTTTTAAAATCAATAATTTTTCACACTATTTTCCATTGATTGACTGTTGTATAATGTATTATACATTGTACAATTACAGTAAATATTAATCCGTGAGTACTGGTTGCCCCTTTTTAATTTGTTGTTTATCAGTGTACTGTACTGTTTACAATCTGATTAACCCAGCTCCACGCTCTTAGTTAAGATCTGTTACCCAAACAATTATCAGAATTTGGTAAATTGGGTGAGACTGTTGCACAGCCTTGGGAAGTTCTCGGGTTCTGTGCAAAAGCCTCTGTACAATAGAGGACTCACACATGTCCTCTACTTGTACATGCTAATCTCCTCCACCACCAACAACAGCGAGATAAACAACTGCAAATAATATTATCTTGTTGTATGAACTGTGCTGAAATAAATGTTCAATAGTGTAACATGTCATTTAATTATCATCACATAGCCAAACCAAATGCACTGATTAGTTTGGTAGATCTAACTCGTCTTTTTGTATAATAACCTCTTGGTACTTTATACTATATTGACCACGATTAAAATTAACCGTTTCTGGAAGAGAAATTGCGGATATATTCTCCATCTTTATCAGAAAAAGTTATTAACCCATTTTGGGCGGAAATGTTGATATTGACGTCTAACTTTGTGATACCCCTGTCTATTACAAGTTTTTGGTTTCGATAATTTCTCAATTACAATATGTCAGACTATGTAGTTTAAATAATGTCTCTAAAGGCACCACTGTACTCCCCATCATAAGTCTCTCAGAGCTAACCAAAATGCAATGATAGGTCGAAAATAAAGAAAAAAGTAAAAAAATGTATATTTTTTACTTTTTTTTCATCTTTTTTTCAACCTGTTTGATTTTTTCTGGGTTCATATTTAGTGAATTTTTATTTTACTTTGATATTTGATCATATTAGTCAGTATAAGCTAGGTTTTCATTGTTTTGTAAAACGTGTTCAATGAAGAATTTTGTCTCTTAGAAACGCAGAAAAAATAATAAGGTTTTTTTTGTACGTGTCTCAGGGATACAGAAAATTTGCCTTAAAATGTTTGTTTTTCTGTTATAAATATATGTTCAAACGTAGAAATTGTTTAGAAATTGAGCCAATTCGGAGGAAAAAATGCTCTCGCTTCAAGGTTATGATGCAAGGAAAGGTAATTACAGTTGCGTATACTCTGCGTACATATTGAAACCAGTTCTCTCTGGGCGGAATTTGTAAACAAGAATAGAGGCATCAGTGTTCGTTTTTCGTTTAGTATCAGAGTAGGTTAAAAGCATTAAATTTTGATAATTTTGATAATTCACATAATAGTTTCCTATGACCAGAATATTTCATTGATTTTTTATGTAAAAGATGGATCCCATGTCATTCTTGTGTTTACATTACCGCCCAGAGACAAAAGATGCGTACACCTCTGAAATAACTTTCCTTGCATTATAACATTGCTCTCGCCTATAATGGGCACCGCTATGAATTAAGAATAGAAGTTCACTTTAAATGTCGTCCGTACAATGTCCAATTTAACATTTTGTTGAAACTACGATTTCTGCAGAAACTATAAATTTTAATTGAGAAATACTAAATGGGAAAAATTAAGCTGAAAATGTTTTAAGCATTTAAAAAGGAATATTCCATAAATCGCGACAAAGGAAATTATTTCTATTTTATTGTTTAAACGAAAAATAATTTACACATATAATTTATATTTATATTCTTTTCTCAAGTATCTACAAGTATCTTACTAGATAAATTCTTACAAAAAAATGATAAAAATAAGTTAGAAACCTTTGCAAATTCTGTTTAGACTTTCAAAGAGCCAGGTTGCCATTTAGAGTGTTTATCGTCTCAAGGTTGCTTTATCCAGGCCATAAATATGTAGACATTTAATTTGACTAGAACTGAAAGAGATAGAAGCACAGGAATTGATTGAACTAAAAGGGTTAACGTGTAGCTATGGATTGATTGAAATAAAATGAATAAAAAGCAGCTCAGGGAAGGATAGGGTTGAAAGGGTTAAAGAGCAGCTATACGGATGGATTGGGCTTAAAAGGTAAAAGAGTAGCAGGGGATGGATTGGGCTGAAAGGGTTAAAGAGCAGCTAGCGATGGATTGGATTGAAAGGGTTAAAGAACAGCTCAGGGATGTATTGTGCTGAGTGCTCAGTGATTGAAAGGGTTGAAAGGGTGAAAGAGCAGCTAGCGATGGATTGGGTTGAAATGGTTAAAAAGCAGCTAGGGAAAGATCGGGTTAAAATGGTTACAGAGCAGCTAGGGATGGATTGTGCTGAAAGAGCTAAAAAGTAGCTGTGGGATAGATAGGGTTAAAAGGGTTAGCGAGCATCTACAGGGATGGATTGGGCTAAAAAGGTAAAAGAGTAGCAGGGGATGGATTGGGCTGAAAGGGTTAAAGAGCAGCTAGCGATGGATTGGGTTGAAAGGGTTAAAGAACAGCTAAGGGATGTATTTTGCTGAGTGCTCAGTGATTGAAAGGGTTGAAAGGGTGAAAGAGCAGCTAGCGATGGATTGGGTTGAAATGGTTAAAAGCAGCTAGGGAAAGATCGGGTTAAAATGGTTACAGAGCAGCTAGGGATGGATTGTGCTGAAAGAGCTAAAAAGTAGCTGTGGGATAGATAGGGTTAAAAGGGTTAACGAGCATCTACAGGGATGGATCTTAAAAAGTAAAAGAGCAACAGGGGATGGATTGGGCTGAGAGGGTTAAAGAGCAACTATGGATAGATTTGGCTGAAAGAATTAAAGAGCAGCTATGGATGGATTGGGCTGAAAGGGTTAAAGAGCAGCTCAGAGAAGGATAGGATTGAAGGGGTTCAAGAGCAGCTAGCGATGGATTGAGTTGAAAGGGTTAAAGAGCAGATTAGGGATGCTTTTGTGCTGAAAGGGTTAAATTTAACAGCTTAGTGATTGATAGGGTTGAAAGGGTGAAACAGCAGCTAGCGATGGATTGGGTTGAAAGGGTTAAAAAGCAGCTCGGGAAAGATGGGGTTAAAATGGTTAAAGAGTAGCTAGAGATGGATTGGACTGAAAGGATTACAGAGCAGCTCAGGGAAGGATTGGGCTGAAAGGATTAAAGAGCAACTAGGGATGGATTGGGCTGAAAGGATTAAAGAGCAACTATGGATGGATTGGACTGAAAGGATTAAAGATCAACTATGGATGGATTGGGCTGAAAGTATTAAAGAGCAACTATGGATGGATTGGGCTGAAAGTATCAAAGAGCAGCTATGGATGGATTGGGATGAAAGTATTAAAGAGCAACTATTGATGGATTGGGCTGAAAGGGTTAAAGAGCAGCTTATAAGGAATAAATTGGGCTGAATATGTTTAAATGATCTATCTTCGGTTGAATTTAAGTGCTGGATCAGGCCTGAATACTGGCATTGGACTTGTATTTACTACTCCAGATCTAAAATGAAAGTATTTTAAATGAAATTGTCATTTTTATATATTGTTATGATTTAAGGGAACTTTCAATTTTTATTTCAAGTTACCCCCTTTTCATGTCTGATTCACAATGTTTTAAACATAGATTTTTTATCTGTCGAAGTCTGACAATTTCCTTTGTTGCTTTTGCTGCATAAATCCCCATGTCATTTATATAGAGACCCCAGATGTTTTAGTTTTGTGTCTCTTGAAGTTAGTTGGTTAGTTTACCTTGTACTCCATAGCCCGAATATTCCAAGGTTAACTATACCAGAACTAATCACATTCTGCAACTCCTCTTGAGTCCTGGGTTTCTTCAGATCATCTTCTGTCTTGATCTTCTTCATTTTCTCGACAATCGTATTCATCTTGATCACTTTCTTTTGCTTATCCTCAGGATCAATATTTGGTTGTTCCTTCTCTAATGTATCTTCCATCAAGTCAATTTTATCATCAAATGCTGATGAATTTGTCTTTAAAGATTCGTTTGATGATGATTTCGTTAACAATGTGGTTGATTTGGTTGTTGATGTTGATGTTGATGATGATGATGACATGGAGGACGATGAGGATTCAGATGTAGTAAATTCTGTTGAAGTAGATAATGATGACGGTGACATTGATTTAGATGACGTGGAAAATGATGCAGTAGTGATTGCCAATGAGTTCGGTGTAGATATAGAAGATGCAGTAGTTACAGATGTTTCAGTTAAAGATTCAGATATCAACAAGGATTCTAAAGTTGATGTAACTGTTGTCAGAATTCTAGCAGCGGTTATATTTGTAATTTCTGCAACGGTTATTGTTGAAGTTCTGGCAGCAGTTGTTGTTTGAGTTCCTGCAGCGGTTGAGGTCTGAATTCCATCAGTGGCAGTTATCGAAGCTCCAGAATCAGTGGTTGTTGAAGCTCCAGAATCAGTGGTTGTCGAAGCTCCAAAAGCAGTTGTTGTCTGAGATCCTGTCATGGTTGTTATAGTTGTTCCTGCCGCGTTCGTAAGAAGAGTTCCTGCTGGGGTGTTTGTCAAAGTTCCTGCCCCAGTGGTTTCCAGAGTTCCTGCCACAGTAGTTTCCGGAGTTCCTACCCCAGTGGTTTCCGGAGTTCCTGCCACAGTAGTTTCCGGAGTTCCTACCTCAGTGGTTTCCGGAGTTCCTGCCACAGTAGTTTCCGGAGTTCCTACCTCAGTGGTTTCCGGAGTTCCTGCCACGGTAGTTTCCGGAGTTCCTACCTCAGTGGTTTCCGGAGTTCCTGCCACAGTAGTTTCCGGAGTTCCTACCGCAGTGGTTTCCGGAGTTCCTACAACAGTGGTTTCCGGAGTTCCTACGACAGTAGTTTCCAGAGTTCCTGCTGCAATTGTTAGAGGAGTGTCTGCTGCAGTTCCTGCTGGAGTTGTCTGAGGTGTATTTCTACCTGTTGTAAGTGGAGTATAATCAGTTGTTGTTGTTTCTGTAAAAAAACAAATTATTTTGATATATAATAATGATAATAGCAATAAAAATTATTATTGTAATAATAATAAGTAGTCATAATGATAATAATAATAATAGTAATATTAATAACAATATAAATATTTGTAACAATGATAATGACAATGATTTAACCTCTTTCATTCAGCAGTTGCAGTATAAACTCGCGTTCTGAAGGATTAATTTCAATCTGTCATCAAACATATCAATTTAATAAAAACAAATGAATTCGGTTTGAATCGCAGATTCTCTGTACGATAGGGTACATGTCCGAACATAACTCAGGATTTCCTTGACTGACTGATCTGCCTCAAATTTTGATTCCTGGGGAACTCAGCAGAACCACGGGAATATGCTTCGCTTGGTTTAAAAACTGAGTGGGTTGATCGTTATTGAGAAAGTTAAGTTTTCATGCAAGCAAAGCTGGGTCCAGTTAATTAATAAAATAAATTGCAGCTGAATCAATTTTGTTCTTTTTAATTCTGAAATCTTATGAATCAATAATCAAAATGAATAAATAAATTCTTATCTCTACATTTATTTGGCAAAACTGTGAATTTAATAGACTCACAGCAGGGGAGGACAGATTTTTTTATATGGGGAAAGAGAATTTTTTCTTTAAATATTATTAATGTTTAATTAAATGAATAAGGTATGAGGAAATATTATATAAATAAGATAAGTTGTCAGAGTTATAAATAGACTTTGTTAAACTGAACATGATTTGCAATAAAGAAATAGCATGAATCTGACTAGAGTCAAGGCAGGGCGCTCCAAAATTTATAATTCATATATAATGAAATATTGAAATATCGAAAACTTTTTTCAAACAAATTTTGACAAATTTTTTACAAATATTTGTTTGATCAAACTTTAATCATACAATATGTAAAATGCACATATTTATGCTTTAAACTAGAAAACAAAAGGACAATGACATCCAAATTTAGTTTAAACAATTTTAGGACATCTTGCTTTGATGGCATAAGGTCACGGTTTGAGGGCGTTTGCAAAATTATGATATATCGATTCCTGAGTGGGTTTTGAGCCTCTCCTATCCCCCGTTCCTGAACAAAGATCAGTAAAGAATCAAAGACTTGTCTTTAAAAGATGTACATTCAAGAAAACAAATATTTTTTTTTGATCATAGACATAATTACTGATGGACATCGATAAGAGGACCGTTTTTAAACAGTAAAGAGGCTCTACGGGATTTCAGATTTTAAAAATCGCATGCTTGACAAGTCAGCTTTTAGTTCACTTATAACTGTGCCAAATTTTTAATCCGCCTAAAGATATTAACTGAACCGAGTTTTGACCAGAGAAAAAACATATCAGGATGTAATCTCGAGAATACAATATTGCACATTCTTGTGGACTAGTTTAAACGTCAAAACACCCAAACTGTTTTAAATTGAACTTAAGAATGATGCCCATCACTTATCAGTATTAATGTCTTTGGAAAGAATTAGAATGTTGCCCATCCCTGTATTTGGAAAGGGGGGAGAGTTGTTGACAGAAAATGTAAAGAAAAATAATGTTACGTTTTACTAAAATGTAAGTTAACAGAGTTTTAAAAAAATGTATCTTTTAAAAAAAATTTTACAAGAACTTATTTAATTCTAAATTTCTATGTTCTAACTGTTCGTCAACAATATTTGCATTTCGTTAACGACTGATCGTTAAAGATTTTTCACTCGTTCATTTTTTATCTTTATAATAGTATCTTTCAGGGGGGGGGGATACAGTGATAATCATAAAACTCCGGAAAAAAGACTACTTTTAGACTAAATTTATGGCTGAAACTGGTCCAATGAACATGAGACACATCAATATTATTGCAATATGGATTTAGAAAGCTTTTTGTAATTTTGAAAAGATTTGTATTGTTTTTTTTCCGGGGCATCTTGTAAATATAAAACAAAGTCTTTGGCCAATAATTAGATGCAAACAACTAATCATATTCGCAATGTTGAAAACCTTGCAAAAGGAGTGGCGGAAGGTCAAGATGTGCAATTTTGCAAGAAGATGCGTATTATCGCTTGTTTGTACATCAAGTTAGATTAACTCTTTGTACACTGCCAATTTTTTGTTTAGCGGTTAAATAAAAATTATATGAATAAACTTAACACTTTGCAATTTTAAATCATATTTGCAATGCACGGAAAGCATTAAAGTTAACGATTTAATAACGTAATTCTTTTGAACTATTAATTGTATTCAATTAAATTTGCAGATTGCACAAAAAGAATAAAGTTTGTTGCAGTTTTAAAAAAACAGACAAATCTGCAAACTGTAAAATGTAGATTATCCTTAAATAATACCTCAAACTAATTCAATTCGGTTCAAGGTTGGACACATTTTGTGTTCAGTGAAACTAAAGAATCAAACACAACAAAATATTTTCATGCAGTAATTTTATAGATCTTTTTAATTTTTAACAAGACGCACCTTGAAATTTGTTTAAAAATCAAAAAGTTTAAAAAGGTTTGTCATCTCTTGCTTCAATCTAACCTTGCAAGGACAAAAACACTTCTAGTAATTATCATTTTAAAATTATAGTTTTCATTTGTCCAATTTGAAGTTATTCTTCATTTTAAATGTACCATCAACAATTTATCTTTTTACCCTGTATTTTATAATAAGAACAAATGACTTTTAAGAATTCTATTTCAAGCATTTAAAACAGAAATAGCATCTTCGGCTGCAGTTCAACCCATAATACTTAAAGATGCCATTTTTAATCGTTGCAAGGCACTTTTGTAAACGCCAGGGACCAAATTTAATGAATTTAAGCTGGGTCGCTGAACCAGCTGGTGCCTGGTGGTAGTTCAGCCTCCTCAATTCCTTAAATTCGGTTCCGGGTCACTTAGATTTATAAGGAGCGTCTTTTTTTGCTTTACCTTTTCCTGGGCCAGATTTCTTTGGAAGATTTTTAAACACATTCGGTATATTCGTCACAGAGGATTCATTCGGTATATCCGTCACAGAGGATTCATCTGATTCAACAGATATTTCAGCTTTTATAGGCCCAACAGTATTAGTAGGTTTATCCAATTCAGCAAGAACGTCAGATTCAGCAAGAACGTCAGATTCATCATGTTCAACTGTTCCTTTGAGTTTAGAACCTTTATCATGGACTATCTCTGTAACTGTACCCTTGACGTCTTGGACTAAGGCATCTTCAATCTCTTTTCTTTGCTGCGCTATAACGTCTCGATCATATTCAATATCATTGTAAACGTAGTAATCACTGTCTTCATCTAATCCCAGTGGAAGATTATTGCCAGTGTCCGGGATAAAAGTATCTTTAATGTCATCATTAGAAGCATCTGTTTGTTCGTGCATTTGCTCTTTCTCAGTTCTCACTACTTTAGAACCAATAAACAGAGGACTAAAGAAAACTAAAGAGTGAATTATGCAAATGTAGTTTAAGGGGCAGAAACTACATACAGTAATGAAGTATTTCTGCTGATAATGTATACAGGTTTTCGTATTTGTAACTGTTAAGACGGACATCTTTATGTGTTGTAAGTCTAGAGGTGAAGTATCGTATATCTTGAACGATAATTCACGACACAAAAATTATGACTGCAAGGTAAATTTTTCAGAGATCTTATAAAATTTTGAATAATTAGAACTTTAGTTTTCATTCCTAAATACTGGGACTTTTACTGTTGTAGTTTTCCCCCATTGACCTCGACGAAACGGATTTTTTCTTCTTCCCCTCCCCGCTTGTTCAATTCGTTCATCACTTCCGAAGATATCATTTCTATCCTCCCTCCAGCTGGGTTCAGTTCTGTCCTCTCTTGAACTTGGTTCGGTTGGAATTTTTTGAAATATTTCCTCCTCAAACAGATCCAGAGCCACAGGAATATTATTCAACCCAAACTCTCCTAAACATTAAAATATTTAAAGGGACTGTCCGCTTAATTTCAAGTGACCTTTTTTATAAAAAGAGGGGCATCTCCGATTCTTATTTGTCCGCAGAAACACTTAATTTAGTTTTCAATTTGTTTTTATAGTTCATAATAGATGTGACGTCATCCACGTAAGTTCACAAAGTACGCTTACGTACAATCTAATTTTACTAATTTTTACACAAAATTTAAGATAGATTCATTGAGTTCTCTGTCGTCGATCAGACAGTCCACAGTACCAAGGGGTACCATACCATTGTGAATCGGGGAATGGAAGGTCAAATGAAATTACGCTTACAGTCCCTTTAAATCTTATTTATACGCTTACAGCCCCTTTAAATCTTATTTATACGCTTGCAGTCCCTTTAAATTTTATTTATACGCTTACAGTCCCTTTAAATCTTATTTATACGCTTGCAGTCTTTTTAAATCTAATGTATTCGCTTACAGTCCCTTTAAAATGTCACATGAAATTATGCTTACAGCTCCTTTAAATTTTATTTATACGCTTACAGTCCCTTTAAATCTTATGTATGCGCTTACAGTCCCTTAAAATTTTATTTATACGCTTACAGTCCCTTTAAATCTTATTTATACGCTTACAGTCCCTTTAAATCTTATTTATACGCTTACAGTCCCTTTAAATCTTATTTATACGCTTACAGTCCCTTTAAAAGGTTACGTTAAATTACGCTAACAGTTCCATTAAATTTTATTTATACGCTTACAGACCCTTTAAATCTTATGTATACACTTACAGTCCCTTTAAATCTTACTTATACGCCTACAGTCCCTTTAAAAGGTTACGTTAAATTACGCTTACAGTTCCATTAAATTTTATTTATACGCTTACAGTCCCTTTAAATCTTATTTATGCAATTATACGTCCCTTTAAATCTTATTTATGTGCGCACTTATAATCCCCTTAAATCTTATTTATATGTGAAAATCGGTAAACATTTTTCCTCCTGACGTACAAGGTGTCACACTCCCACACCGTATTGGATTGTTTATATAACTCTAAATTAAGATGGAAAGGACTAATTAGAAAATTTTAAAGAATGAAACATTTTGGCGTTAAAGCTTGGAGATATGATACCATATGGGATGCTCTGTATGTGCATGTTAAATAATGTGTGGTGTAAATGGGATGTAAATGGGGTGCAAATGGGGTGCAAATGGGCACCCCGGACTAACCAGAGTGAGCAGCATTCTGTTTCTTCTATTTAAAATGTGTTTTGGTCTATAATTCAACAATCTTTTACTTTACGGATTTGTTTATTCTTTACATTTTCATTCAAAATGCATATGCCGACAAAAAATATTTAAGAAAAAAGGCTTAAAAATTATGTTTAATGGGTAAAATTTTAATCGAAAGTCACAGCTTTCTGGAATATTGACAAAACCGTTAAATCCACGTGCATGGGGTGCAATGGGATGCAATGGCCGTGCAAATGGGATGTAAATGGGGTGCAATGGGGTGCAAATGGGATGTAAATGGGATGCAAATGGGGTGCAATGGGGTGCAAATGGGGTGTAAATGGGGTGTAAATGTGGTGCAAATGTGGTGTAAGTGGGGTGTAAATGGGGTGTAAATGCCGCAGACTAATCCGAAGGTTAAAGATTTTTGTTGAGAGGCCTGGAAGTAATTTGTAATCAAGGTTAAAAATCAAGTTTTTGTGGAGGAACATTGAGGAAGCATAGTAACAGTTTACCATGCTCGGCTTACTTAATACAGGGTTTCAACTCTTACAACAGACCTCCAACTCTCGTTTTTAAATTACATTATTTTTAAAATGACGATATTTCAATGGAAGCTTAGTGTTGAGAAGAATTTTCCTAAATTGTTTTAATTGATGGTCTCTGATATACTCATGAATTGATATTTAACCCAGGATTGTAATTTGTAGATGACACGACCCATATTTATATTCGTTTAAAGGAACTGTAGGCGTAAAGTGACGTGTCCGATTCACAATCAGTACCCTTTAAACCTTTTACTGATCAAGGTTTTAAAGGACTTTTCCACATTTTGATTCAAAATCACTTGTAACTGTTGATAACTTTGTTTGTCAGCTGTTTTATATCTGACAAATACAAATATCTACTTTCCAGTGCAGAAAAATATTTACATTGAATTTGTTAAATCGCAACGGACATGGAATATTCTGAATTTTTCAAAGAAAGTCAGCTGCGCGTTAAGTTTACGTTGTACGCTAGCGTGCACTCCAGTTGTCTGGCAATTCAAACACCGTTGTAGAGATACAAACACAGAGGTCTCCGCCTTCTATGATTTAAATGGTACCGTTGTAAATCGGACATTCCCCCGAATTCATGTCAGGTTACTTGAAATTACGAATACAGTCTTTTTAAATCAATGGTTTACCTTCCAGAAAATCACTGTCAGCCCCGACAGATCTAAAAGTTTCCTTTAATGTCGGATTGGGAGTCGGTCTAGTTCTAGATTTATTTTCTAGATGCCGAGTGTTTGCTTTAACTTTATCCGCGATAATCTGAATTGGATTTCTGTTTCTTGGGTCTATATTGATCAGCCTTCTACCAGCTGCATCTCGATGTTTAGAATTTCTTCTAAAAATGTTCACAACATTTTTTTCATATTTTCACTCGGCTTATGCTACAATCTTTAGAACTTTTAAAACACTGAAGAGATTTTTTTTCTCAGGGTACTCAAGGTTTCTTAAAAAAATTCATCCCATTTGGTACAGTCGTTGGGCCTGCCATGGCTAAACTATATATAATATGTGCGACTAGACTAGCTGAAGTTGGCCGTTGAATTTAAAAAAAAATATTTTTTCAGACAATGTTAACCGGCCCACGTACTCCGGGGTTCCCTTCAAAACTTCAGCCAATTTGGTCCAGCCATTTGGCCATACATAGCTAACAGATAAAGCTTTATTATACACTTATCTCAAACAAAACCTTACTAAATTGACATATTTTAGAAAAAAATACTAGGTATTTCGATAATTTGGAATATGGTTTCGAAAATTAATAATAATCTGTTTATAATTTTCGGAAATAATGCTCGAATTTTGTTTTTTTTTGTCGTTTTCGTTCTAGTTAAAACATTGAGTATTAAATTAAATTTAAACTTATAAATCGTCATTTAAAACTTCAAAAAATTCATAAAATGATTATACAAATAAGTATTTATAAATTTTAAATGAAGACGACAAAATATTCTAGAAATTATTTTAGAAAATCTATAAAGGCAAAATCACTTTCATTCATTCTGCCATTTTTTCGATTAGAACATATAAAGAGGTAACTCTGTCCAGCTTGATGTATGTATAAATAGACTAGTACACAAGGTTAAAATGCAAGGAAAGTTAACTGCAGTTGCGTATAACTCTGTGAACATATTGAAAGAAGTCTTTCTGGGCGGAATTTGTAAACAAGAATAGATGCATTAGTGTTTGTTAAGTATTCGAGGAGGATAAAAACATTTAATTTTGATAATTTTGATAATTCACTTAATAGATTCTTTTGACCAAAATATTTCATTGATTTTTATGTTAAAGATGGATCCCATGTCAAGCTCTGACATCTGTCTTGTGTTTGCATTACCGCCCATGAGACAGTACACTGCAGTACAAAAGATGGGTACACCTCAGAAATAACTTTCCTTGCATTATGACCTTGCTCTTCCATCAATAATTTGTACCTCTTGTACTTTAAAAATATCTAAACACTCCTCTTGTAAAAATATCATATAATCGAAAATAATCAAAATGGATATTTTATTGCTCCTTAATCAGTCAAAGCTTTCGTGTTCGATCCACCGCTGTGAATTGAACATGAAATTTGAATGATAATCTATTGATAAATAGTCACTTAAATTACGACTACGGTCCCATTATGCTCTAAACACGCACCCCTGACCCTCTAGTAAAAGTAAATATGCTCAAAAATATTGAGGGTTCAATCATAAAAATGTTATTTTCCTTCCAAAGCCCGAAGGAGGAATAAATGAAGGGAATGGCTCTAAATCAAAAACTAGATTAAAATTTGACTGAAATCTAAATTTTGAAAACTCTAAATCTCTGGGAACAAAAATAAAAATGACCCTCAGTATTTCTATATATTTGTACATTTATTTCAGAAAATATGACAACATGGGCTGTATTACGATTTAAATAGGGTTGAAAGACAATTTATTATATTTTTATTTGCTCACAGATATTTTACTTTGATTTTGAAGAATGGCACTTTGACTTCTTGGTTTTATTCCAGAGACAACAAATAATAGAAATAATTCGGGTCAATAAACAAACAAACGTTGTTGACTTTTTATAAATTAATCTAGAATATTCCTGGCGTGGTCTCTGGAATGAAAATAAAGGAGTCAGTTGAATCAAACTCCTCTGTTGATGTTTCATCGTTCAGATCTCCAGTGTCGAGTATGTCTTGAACACCAATACCACCGTCAGATTCGGTTTGTGTTGAATACTCGTCATATTCTTCGGATTCACTGGACAAACAACACAGTAAATATATATATCTATATATGTATATACTTTGCTTGTCTGTTTGTTTATCTGTATGTATCCAATCAACGTTAAAACGGCTGAGCCGATCCGGCCCAAATTTTTTGTGGGATCTTACGTGGGACCGGAACGAAGGTTGGTAAAATTGGCCTCAAGCAAAATTCAATTTTCATTAAATTTTCAAAACATTTTTAAAATCCACGAAAATTTTTTATGAAATCCGCGAATTTTTGTTGTTGTTTTGTTTTACAATGTACACAAAGAGAAAATGTTCACAATTGAAATAGAAGATGGGTGTGAAGCGCCCTAAAAGCCTAGTATTTGTATACTTTTTTTGTAACCCATAAACGTCAAAACGGTTGAACCGATATGATTTGGCCCAAATTTTGTGTGGGACCTCAGAGAAGGTTTATTTGTAACATTTTGAAAAGTAACGAAAAAAAATTGAAATCCGCAAAACTTTTATTTTTCATTTATCTTAGAGAAAATGCTGAAAGATTGTAAACAATTAAAAAATGAAAATGAAGCTAGATAAAACAAGTCTAAAACATTTTCTATTGTTTATTTATATTGTTTATATGTTATATATATATATATATATAAATTTTTGGAGTGGGATAAAAATTAGAGTACAATGGTACCCATAAAAATGTGAAATAGGAACACCACTGTTGGGCTCAAATTATGATTTTAAATAGTCCTAAGAACATAAACCAGTTGTGCAGTGAATACTTTTCAGTTGTTTTTTACGCTATTATAAAACGTTTTGCTTTTAAACACGAAAAACTAATATTACTTAACTTTAGTTAGATTTCTTTATCAAATGCAGTCCTCTTATTCCACAGATTTATGGACCTCACTGTAGGAAGTGCGTTTTTTCGATAAGAACTTAAAATTATCCAAATGGAATATTTCTAATTTAGAAAACTCGCAAATACATTTAAAATCTGCAAAACTATTATTTTTTCATAAAATTGAACCAAGATAAAAATGATCCTCCCTCCGACCCCCCCCCCCCTTCCTCCCATCACCAAACCATGTAATGCAACTATTTATATACCTTTTGTAATCATAGCTGAATATGTCGTCGTAGTAATCATACAATACATCAGAATCTACAATAAGGAAACTGATTACTAGTTTTGTATTATACTTTTCTCAACGTTTTATCTTCACAACCTGGTCTCGTAGCTAGACCTTTTAAATTATTAATTTTTCTGGATCAAATAATCAGTTTCTTCCATGTCAAAACATGTCTAATATGTTTTTGAATATCGAATTGTGGTTTAATCATGATAAAAGATAAATTCATTCAATTGAAATTAATCAAATAATAAAAACTTTAGTTAAAATAAAATTAGTCTAACCTCTTGTTTAATTATTAAAAGAGAATTAAACTTTTAAAATGAGCTCTTAATTATAAGCTACTTAAATCACTTAAGCTATTAATAAAATTGATAAAATTTTATTGTTCTTAATTTGCTTTTAAAAATTACCTTTTGAATTTTGTTCAATTTTTAAAGATGATCTTGGTTCCTCTTTAATACTGGCCTGGCATAAAAAGATTTTTGATTGATTTTTAATTGTTTCATTAACCCTATTCAGGTCTGGTTTACCCAAATAGTCTGGGCGGGCCCCTGGGACCCCCCCACCCTCTATTTCCTTATTGTGATACAAATATATAAAATTTGATACACTTTTGGAAAGCCCTCGGGCTCTACTTAAATAATCTGCAAAACTAGATTTTAAATATTCATTGCAATTTCAAGTTATTAAGCAAAAAATGTGCAAAACATAAAGTAAGCGAAATATGATAAATTTTGCATTTTTGAAAAGCCCGTACCACGGCAAATTCAAGTAAGCAAAAATATTTGCAAAATTTTCAAAACTAAATTTCTATGCAAAGAAAAGTGAAAATGTTCGAATTCTCTTCAAAGGCATCTGTGCAAAAAACTATGCAAAATTTCGTTACAAAAATTGTGCAATCTGCTTCCTTTTGTTCAAGGCTTTCCAAAGAGCAATAAAAAGTCAAAATCCCAAAACAGGAAGTAGGTCTAATTATAGATTTAGGTGGGAAACGGTAAAATAATGCATTCAGGCAGAATGTCTGCATTAGGACTCAGGCAGTAGGTATAAAAGCCCCGCTTTGATACTAAATTGTGTGGTGGAATGTGTTAGTTAGAAAAGTAAAAACTAATACTTGTTATCTCCAAAAAAACGTCAGGAAAAGGGTTTAACTATAATTAATCGAATATTAAGGCAATCAGAATTTGTTAGATATTCCTATCATTCTGTTCAGAATTTAGAATTTTTTCGTCAGTTTAAAAACAAAATGCTGTGGTTTTTTTTGATAATGTAAGTTACTGTTTTTGTGTTCAATTTGTTTCACCTCAGTTGTTGATGAACTAAAAGTTCTCGGGGTAAACAATGCAGGGTTCTGAGCAGGTCTTCCAGTAGCCTAGACAATCAATTTCACAGTCAATAATTATAAATACAACAAAATAAATAAATAATAAAAATAAGTTTTTTCATTCCCTTATTCATTAATCTTTGTTAAGTGAGGATTATGATTATGATATAATTGGGACTTTTTTACAAAACTTTTTATTTTCAGGTTTTTTTCCAGAAAGTTTTTTTCGGTGTCTTCCTTACATAGATTAAAAAACGGCAGATTTCATTTTTTTCGGCTTAATTCCCCTCTATACTTATCTCTTTGTAGTGTGTGTCCCTAGATAAAGCCTGAAATTAGATTTGAGTACCTGAGGACGGTTTTCAAAAGATCTATCTAGTTCCAGGTCTAGAGAGGAAATATCATATCCAACATCTGGATCCTGGATACAAATATAGATTAGAGAGGAAATATCATATCCAACATCTGGATCGGATACAAATATAGATTAGAGAGAAGATATCATATCCAACATCTGGATCTTGGATACAAATATAGATTAGAGAGGAAATATCATATCCAACATCTGGATCATGGATACAAATATAGATTAGAGAGAAGATATCCTGGAGGTAGCATAGGCTAAGAAAATTCGATTTTTTTCAAATCAAATCTAATAAACGTGTTCAAAGTGATTTCAAAATTCAGCGTGCAACGCCGGGCACTTGAGTTAGTTTTATGAACATTGATTTAAAAAAAGTGTGTCCAAAGGTTTTTATCTCCTTTTGAAAAAAAATTTAAGAATACTACTTTTAAATACGTTAAGAAAATTTATTATTACAGAAAAAAGTTAACAAAAATCGAATTTCAAATAATAATAAGATTAAAAGTGAGACCTGTGAGCAAGCAAGGGCAGACCAGTATCTTCCATCTCTTGAAGACCATGTAGTGTCCGAGTAGCACCCACTCTTAGGGTCCTACCAATATCCAGGTTTAACCACAGTGAATGAGACGAAAAAGACGACCCAAAACTCTTTAAATATGACGATTTGAATGTTAGATTTGGTTTCTGAATCCAATAATGATTTACATATTTACAAATGTATGCTAAAGGTTTCAATAAACTCCGTACAGTCGTCTTTGTATATTAATGAAAATAAAGGGATACCAACCAAACTTTGAATTAAGAAGACGACATTTAGGCACTTTAATTGTGTGTATTATTGTTGCTTGAAAATCAACCGTTTTACATGGAAATGGGTCTCTGGTACAAGTTCTAAGATTAAGTTAAATTAGACTATTTAGAGTCATGAATGTTTCAATTGACTCTCTCTTGACAGAATTGCGCATGTCCGATTCACAACGCTAACCTTGAAAGCTTTGTATGAATTTGTTCCTGTGTGTATGGTTCACATTTTATCTTAGAAAAGAAACATTTTACTTTTTTGAGAATTTGAAATTAATTAAAAACTATTTTAAAAAGGCCAAATTTTTAGTAGACAAATAAGCACCCCCCCCCCCCC